TGAAACGTGTGTAGTGTTGCTTCGGCTGCAAAAGAAACTCTACGATTCGCCAATGACTTTCGGCGCGCTTCCCTTCGGTCCTGTTCTTCGCGCTGTCGCGCCTTTGCCTGTTGCTCTTCCTCTGTTCGCAGCGCAACTTTGGCGCCGGAAGATGCATCTTGCTGGCTAACGTGCGCGCTCGGTGGCGTGTCGATCTTTGGAGGGCCTGAGCCTTGCCTTTTAAGGGGAGGTATTTCAGGAAGTGGCGCAATTGCTGGTTTAAGAATCGATCGGGGAGGCGGTCGTGAGGGAGCTGCAAGAGACTGTGACATTTCAGTATCTTCAACTCAGCTCGCAACAGGGAGCATGGCACATACGGCTCTTCGATTACCGTTGGCGTTCTTCAGAACGTCCAGGCCGCCGGGCCCAATACTCTTGCTTCGCGACTTTTTCCGGTTGGCAGCAAGAGAACTGCTTCCAAGATCAAGTGTCACGTTCTCTTTCTCTGTAGCCTTGGCTGACGATATTTGGCCGCCAATAGACTTACGCAGTCTGCGCGTCGCTGGAACTGTCGCGTCGCCGGAAGAAGACATGATGAATGCTATAGCTATGAGGCGACAGCAAGGCGCTTCTTCTAGTGACGAGGTTTCGAGTCGCGTCGAGGTGCAAGTGGGAGACAATGTTAGTTGATGATGGCGTCGCGTATGCCCATGTTCAGTCAAAGTGGGCTGCATGTACAAGGGTTTCCTATGTTTACATCTGACAGGCCCCATGATTGGCTCTCTCGCATGCTGGTGTCAACATGGTCCACGCGTTGCTGAGGCATCGGATTTCTCCGTGTGCCCCACCTCTATCGATATGCTCCAGCCCCATGTGGCCAGACGAACGTGGCGCAGCTGTGGCTTGCCCCTCGCCAAATTTTCCACCCACAGGCCCTAATTCTTGTGATCTCGAACCCAGTCGCCTACCTCAGCAAAAGTTGTAAGCCGCATCACCGTCCATCGCCCAACGCCCATCAATCCGCCGACAACCAGTTGAGGTGATTACCTTCCCCCACGACCGCCAGGTAGGTGTCGCAAGCATACCAACCTATCGATCGAACCACCGCCCTCTCTGTCGACATCGTCCTGACTTTCTCTTTCTGCAGAGCCGTGACCGATCACTACCGACAACATGGCTACCGAACTTACCGTCCAGTCGGAGCGCGCCTTCCAGAAGCAGGGCATCTTCCTCAACCAGAAGACCAAGGCCAAGTCCACGCGCCCTGGAAAGGGTGGCCGCCGATGGTACAAGGACGTCGGTCTGGGTTTCCGCACCCCCAAGACCGCCATTGAGGGCACCTACATCGGTACGTTGGATCGTGATACTTGGAAGATTTCGAAGCGCGAGAAGGAGCATGCTTGGAGCGCCGAGCGAATCACTGGCTCAAGCAGACGAATGCGCGCGAAGGAGCCATGGTTACACTGGAATTGGTTTGAATCTCAAGGACACTGCTAACATGGACGCGTCTCTCAGACAAGAAGTGCCCCTTCACCGGCCAGGTCTCCATCCGTGGCCGTATTCTTACCGGCACCGTCGTCTCCACGAAGATGCACCGCACTCTCATCATCCGCCGCGAGTACCTCCACTTCATTCCCAAGTACGCCCGTTACGAGAAGCGCCACAAGAACCTCGCCGCCCACGTCTCTCCCGCTTTCCGTGTTGAGGAGGGTGACCAGGTCACCGTTGGCCAGTGCAGGCCTCTGAGCAAGACTGTATGTCGCGACTGGAACGCAGCCGCTAGGCTGATGCCTGGCTCTATACTAACAAAGTACAGGTCCGCTTCAACGTCCTCCGTGTGCTTCCCCGAACCGGCAAGGCGGTCAAGAAGTTCAACAAGTTCTAATCGGCTCTTTGGCATTTACGGCGTGTACGCGGTGAGGGTTCTGCTTTACGCTACCGGATGGGCGGTCACCAGGGAACGGCATCCGCATGATTTGTGCAATAGATGCAGATCAGACCAAAAGAATTCGATCAGCCAAAACCAACGGAAGATGGTTTCGACATGTGAGGCACAACGGTTATGGGTTGTTTGACGACTGGGACCAAAGGGTGGGAGAGGCGGATCTGCGTCGCGTGCGAGCGCGCGCACCAGGCCATGGTCAACTTCGTTTTGGGGGAAAGGGCGATCTGGCTTGACGTGGAATGACAAAACGACGGCTCGTTCATCCTCGTCTCGCCCCCTCTCGGTCTTTTCATGTGATGTTGCGGCTGGATATTGACCAGTACGCATGTGAAGTCAGTTCCCATGACTATCCTCCCCTTTTCACCCCACCCTTGACTACACTCTGAGATGTACCTGCTCTCCCGTGGTACAACCCAATTTTTGTCTCAAGGAATATGAATGCCTCGGCATGGCGCATCACTCACCGCGACTCCATCGTTCTCCGTGGAGGGCGAGGTCCGTATATCGTTGTCAACATATCTTCTCCGTCTTTGTAGCTTTTGCGTCGAGTATTTTTTGAGGAGAAAACCGCTCGAGAAATCATACAAGAGCCTCAGCCACAACATCACTGTGCTGACAGTTGCCAGTATAGGTCCATATTTGGGTCCTAGAATACACGGCAAGCTTACAAAAGACGTGAATATCCGCAAATATCCACAACCGACATCTACAGACCTAGATTAAAAGTGAACCAAGTCAATCTTACAAGAATTGAAATATCCAAAGATAATCTGGCTACAGTGCTAAAGGACAGTGTGGTTTGTGGGTTCACAGTGCATTTGCAGATTCAACAGCAGCTGATTGGCGATTGAAATCTTTCCACCCAAAGAACCACCAGCAGACCTAGGTACGGAGCTACGACGAGAAGCGAAGCGACGTAAACCAGCAGCCGCCAACGAACGATCTTCCAAACGCAAAACACATAGCATAATCGAGATGGGCTGGCTAGACGGCTGGTGGTCGGACGCGCCCAAGACGTCTGATCCTCTCGCATCCATCGACCCGAAGGTCCGCGAGTTCCTACAGCGAGAATCCCCTGTCAAGTACAATACAGCCTCCTCTACGCCATCAGAGACGAAGCCTTCTACCGAAGCCACAGCACAACAGGCGCCAGTTGACGAATCCGCGAGACCGCTTGTACCGAAAGAGAGCTTGTTCCAAGACGGCCGCTACGCGCACCTTTGGAAGGGGTACAAACCACAGGGCGAGATCGAGGCAGAGTCCAAGACCGACCATGAGAAGCTTATGGATGTGCTGGAGGGCTACAAGGACCGAAAATACAACCTTGGTCGCGCGGCACTCGAAAACTGCGCCATACAGCAGGAGGAGTGGATCAACTGCATGAAGAACGGTGCTTGGGAGGACCGGCTACAGATGTGCCGGAAGCAAGTACAACGGTTCGAAAGGTGCTATACCATGCAAACGGTATGATTCTAGTCCTCGCCTTTGATATTTGCGCTCGACTGACTGCGGTCCACCACAGAGACTATTGAAAGCCCTTGGCTACAAGTCCATCGTTGATCGGCCTGCGCATGTCGACGAAGACATCCAGATGCACGCCGATAGCCTGTACGTCCGGATGATCGACCAAGAGAAGGCGATCAAGGGGGCAGAGGAACGCGGCCTGCCGGCACCAGAGTTCAAGAACATCTTCCCCAAACCAGAGAATGCAATCGAGCCCGGCGCCGAGCTGCGCAAGAGTTGGGATGAGCAGCTCGACAAATTGCCCGCAGCGGAGCGGGCGACGGAAGAGGCGGCTCTGCGGGCTGACTTTCAAGCGAAGGCAGCCGTGGCTAAGGACGTCCAAAAGTTATGGGATGAGCAGGCCGCGGCGCGCAAAGCGAGAGAAGCTGGGGGGCAGACCAGTATCGCCGAGAAGGTCACGGATATCTTTCGGTTCAGGTAAGGTGTTGATGAAGGTCTCCTGAGGCCCATAAAGGTCATTCAACCAGACCTGTAAGCAGGCCGTCGCTAGCGAAATCGGTGGGAGAGAGGTCACGCTGTACAAAGCTCCAGTCCCTCGTGAGCCTACCATCATGACACAATCTGTACACACTCAAGATGTATTACCTGTAAAATATTGTAGATCAAGAATTTGCAGCGAACGAAGGAGCAATACAATCGATAGCGCCTCATGCTGATATTTACGTCCCGTTTTCGAGGTAGTTGGGGACGCTCGAATTGTTCTAACAAGGGCTTCTCATTCACCTTTCCATATTGAAGTGGCAGCAGTGGAAAATCCTTGTCATTACTCCGCAAAGTCGTCTTGATCCAATGAACCGCCAGGAAGGGAGGCGACAACTTACGGAGAATTCACGCGTATTGTGGTGATCCGACATGGTGGCACCTGCGTCCTACATGGGGCAAATGTCGTTGGGCTGAGAATCCAGGAGTGTGTAGATTGACCTAGCACGATAGAGGCCAAAAGGCAGATTATGGCAGCTCGCAGGGCTTCAATGGCCAAACCCAAAGAATAGGAACAGAGGGTTATTTGATTTCCTTGAGGGGGTGGCTCTGGGATACCAGTGTCTTACTTGTAGTCACAAGCTGGGACCAGCTCAAAGTCCACAATACTTACGGTGGTTATAGGGTGGTTAATTGTACCTAGGTATTTAGCCCACTATGGCCACAGCGGCCACGACGACCAGTGGCCATGCCAATCAATCCACTATAATAAGTAAGGTAGGTAGGTAGCCAAAGTGGAAATCCTGGCATAGCTACTATAATCGCTACCTATAGACGTGATAGGGCCAGGGTTGAGGTTGTGTTCTGCAATACACGTAAGGTAGAAAGTACCTAGATAGGTAGGAAGAGGAACACATGACACCCATACGATAGTTTAATCCAAAAAAGTCAATCGAAAAGGGTTTTGGCCAAAAAAGCCCTGCGAGCCTGGCCGGTTCATCACAAGTAGGCATCGAGTCTTACATGTAAGTGCGCTGGGTCCGCTGAAACCCAGACCGACGTGCGGGCTCTGACGTCGACGATGGTGCTACACTTCTGATCACACATATTGCGACAGTGATCTAGTTCTTGCCAAAATCTTTGAACACTTCATTGCTCTTGATCTCGGGTCCGTGTCTCGCTACCATGCCCCTCTATAGTTTAACAGCAAGACTCCTCACAGCCGCAGAGGCCACAGCAAAGTTCACAACCAGCCTCTTCTCCTCCACGAATTCCCAGCTCGACATCGGGCTGCGGCTCGGCAGTCTGTAAAGGACATGGTGTCAGAGAAGCACGCTGAGTACAGTGGTGTAAAACATACAGGCTGGCTGCTGATAACCTCGTCGGCGGAAGCTTCCATGGGGGCCTGCTGCTGTGGTGCGTCTTGCGTCGTCATGGTGTCGATGGTGTAGTGGAAGTTGCGATTGGCGGCAAACGTGTCGTTACTCGGTTTCACTGATCGATTTTGGACTTGTTCGATGTAGTATACACGAAAGGTCTTGGCTTAGTAGGGAGGTCATTTATCCTTCAAATGTATTCAGCTGCCACCTTCAGGCACCCACAACAAGCTTCGACCGCGTCGATGGCAATCACCCAACGAACCTTGCTATTTTGTCTCTTTGGCTGCCTCCCTCTCCGGGCGCTTGACTCTTGGAAGCCGCATTATCAGACCTGAGCCCACGTGCAAGGTTCGAGGCTATGGCTCTGGCGCCGTTGTTCGGCAACACGGCACTGTATGCTAATAGGGGCTGACCAGTTCTCACGAGAAACAACTTGGATGATCAGGACGTGGCACCCTGTCCAGCACGATTCTAGCGATCCCATACCCAAGTTGTGGCGAGGTAGTCGATCGTGGCACTTTCTGCGACTCTCAGCTGGGTCGAAAGTTGCCGATAGAACCGGATGGCGTAACACGAGCATCGAGTATACGTGTTAGCTGACGACGCAACCTCCATGAAAGCCACACCGCGCTTCCATTATACGGCGGACCGGTCCAGATTAGGACCGAAGCGCAAACACAAGGGCGGCTGCGGCCTTTCGCGTGCCGCCCGGCACTAGATTGAGGCTGAACCCTCAACTCCAGAGTCAATTTGAGGTGCCGTAATCGCCGAATACACAGCAGACTCTGTGCCGGTTTGCCAGAAGCACCCAGCCCCACGCCCTTATTCCTAGCTCCAGGATTCTCACAGCCATGCCGATTGATGTCATCAGTTTCATCATCTGTTTTCCATAGCCAATGCCGCTCTTTCGAGGAAGGCATTGAAGTCCCTCAATTGTCGAGCTGTGCCGCCGACATCACTGTTGGTGCATGCTTGGTCGGTTATTCTGGAAATGAGGAGCTCAAGGTTTGCCAGATTGGCTTTCTTCTCAGCCGCCGGCGACAAGTCGTCGGCGCCACGGCCGCGCTCTACGGCGAGATCGATATCGTGCATGGCTGAAGAGGTACTGATTTGGTGCTATTACATCCCATTAGTCACGCTTTTCTCTCTGCAGCTTCATGGTCCTATGACTTACCAATGCCTCACTTCTCGCCTTTTCGTGTTTAGATCTGACAGCATCTTTGCGAACAGCAACTTGTTCTCGTTCTGCCCGGAGACGCATAATTTCGTCTCGCAGCGATGTCTTCTCAGCCTGTTCGCGCCGTATACGCCCCCGAAGAGCATGCATGTGGTCGACCTGGATAGTCTTGCCAGTTGTCAGTATTGGTGGGTCAAACACGTTCGAGGCTTTCTTACATGTCCGAGAAACCTGTGCCCCAGCTCCGCCTGAAATGCCTCCAGTGCGCAAGTCTTGATGCGAAGTTCTTTCTTTGCGGATGCATCCGGGGCACGTTGCACACCGTCACGCAGAGTGTTAAGGCTAGATTGGATGATTTCGTCGCACATCTGAGCGAGAACATCAATCGTATTCACACCTGACCGTTTGGAAAACGGGATGTCGGCACTGATAAGGTCAAAGTCGGGATCCTCGCCTTCGGCAGGTCGGCCCCTCTTCGTGAAACGCTGTACTGGAATCTCAAAGACCCCTTCATCTGGGCTATCCGCCACCTTGGGTTGTCGGGCCTTGGCGGCAATTTTAGGCTTTGTCTTTGTAGGCTCCGATGTTGATGTCGCCGAGGTCTTCTTCTTCCGGCCTTGTTTCTGCTTTGCAGGACTAGCCTTGACCGCTGTTCTTCGGCGTTTGGGTACTGGCTCCTTCGGTGACACCTCTTCAATATGCTCGTCCTGCTCGACGGCAGTCGCGGACTCCGGAGATGGATCTCGCATCAAACGGCGAGAACGTTTTCCCCCGAGCCGCTTAGCTGCCTCCTGGTTGGACACCTCCTTCGCTAGATTGTCTTCGGCATTGTTCTGTTCCTCCTCTTCAACGACAGGCGGCTGTGTTTCAACTTCCTCCTCGGGCAGAATGCGGGACGAGAGCTCCGGGGAAGGTCCCGATTGTACGATGGGTGATGTTGCTAATTGCGGGGATGATATTTCCGGCGACCGCGCGTCGGCTTGCGCTGCTTCAGACCCAGCGCTAAGAGGGCTTCGCCGCTTGCTCGGAGTTCGCGTCTTCCGTGTGATGCTGCCAGATGTCCGCCGCTGCCTTTCCACTAGAGGGGATGACAAGGGGTCCGCATCAGCGTCCTCGTCTATCACTGTGTCGAGTATTTGCTGCAGCTGTGTGCCTGAACTGAGAATCCCGTCGGCGGTTCCGGCACGTCGCTTCCTGGTGGCTGGTGCTGTCGCCGGGCTTTCTTCTATCTCTTCGCGGCGGGCTGATGTCCTCGACGCACGTAACCCTGCTGACGAGATACTTTCTGGCTGCTGAGAAACCGGCCCATCGAGTTCGTCAACAGGCGCAGCAGCTTCTGGCGTCGCAAGTCTCGGAACTGGCGTCGCATCTCCTGGCTCTTCGCGGGCAGTGATGGCGAGCTTCTCTGCGCCGGCTTTGGAGCGATCATCTTGCCTCTCAGGGCTTGTTCCGAGTCGCTTTCGCTTCGCGGATGTGTTGGGCGTCGACCTTGTTGCTTGAACGGGCGGGGTCGGTGCAGGAGGGTTCTCCGGGCTCGTTGGTGCGACTGTCGATGTTGTCTCGTCACTCAGCATTAGCTGGAAGGACACTTCTTCGACTTGTCCATGTCTTTTACACGTCAGCAATCCCTAGAGAAAGATATAATCCAGGCTGGAGAATGTACCCAGCACCACGAATGCGCTGCTGCATGCGCTCAGCACGTGCTATCAAGGTCGAGAGCGTTAGCCATGAACATGAGTGTCCTTCTCGGCAAACTTACTGGCCATGGTGACAACGAATCCACGTTCTACATGGAAAGATGACGGAAACAAAATCTCAGCTTTTGGTCATGATCCAGGACAAACCGAGCTAGAACAGGGGTCGTTGGGCGTCGGCATGAAGCAAGTGTTCAGGAACGAGACGCGTCGCATCGGAAGTGGGGGACGCGCCGATAACACTTTCGCCACACCGAGTTCACCGAAACTACAGGTACGAACCACAACAGCATGGAGCTGCCCCAGAACGCCCCGCAAATCCACAGGTATTTCGTGGGAAGCTGCTACTTCAAGTCATGCAAGGAAATGAATTCCCAAATATCACTTGCAGAGCTTGTGTCTTAACACGCCCTGCACACAGGACAACTTAACATGCCACTGATAGTCTCAAACAAGAGCATTGGCGATAAATCGGCATTACAGCCTAATAGATGGATAGACAGTTCTGAACCAGGTTGACGTTAAGCATGCCATCAGACTAGACCTTCAAAGGGCCTTGAAAGCGAACCACGAAGCCCCCTTGTTGTCATTTAGTTTTACAAGTCCACACCAGTAGCTCATAAGCATGCCGAGGTGCTTTTAGCAGCTAAGCCAAAGCTTGTAAGATGCGAACCCGTAGAAGCTGAATGTAGTCGTATGACAAGTAATTCTCATCGCTCATCTTATGTGTACATGAATTGTTGAACAGTAGTAGGAAAAAAAAATAGACCCGCTATGGAATACCGTGCTATAGATTGCGCGTGTAGCCTCCAACAGAGGATTGGGTTAAGAGCATGCGAACTCGCCCTGGACTTATGACTGAGACACAGAATCAGAACACATCGTGAAAACACGCACATCTGCGAGAGCCGAGAATCTGATTCACGGGCCCTGCGAGGCTTCCGCTTCGCTACCACTCGGATCCCACCCCTCAGTTGTCCCGCCACTCTTGGCCACCCTGGACTCCACTTGGGGATCCGCCTCGATTGTTGCTGTTGTGGCTGGCGCTCGACGAAGCAGCGGGAGTATCATCGTCGTCATCGTCGTCGAGCACCTTGGCAAGCTCATCAGGGTCTTGCATCTTGGCATCAGGGTCGACGATGCCGCCATCATACTCTGCCCTCTCTCCGCGCTCAGCTTCTAGCACACCATCATCAGCGCTGACGGAGATGCCCCTCGCTCCCCACTTGGACCGGCTACCACCACGTCGGCTTTCGTGACGACCAAGCGCAGGGGCACTCTCCTCATCTTCCTCACCATAGTCTTGGTTGCTGGGCTTGCCAAAGATTCTATGGAGGAACCAGCCACGGTTGAGGTCGTCGGCATCGACAACACCGCCGTTGCGAAGCTTGACTCGTTGGCGCGTGTAGTAGACCCAGGCAAAGTCGACATAGAGTGCTGTCTGCACGATGCCGAAGACGACCGAAACAGCGTTGGGAGGCTTGTCCGACAAATCGAGTTCCCGGCTAATCCATCCAACGAGGTAAAGGGCCCGATAGGAGCCCAGGGCGACAAGGTAGAAGGAGTCGATAACGGTCGGTACGGTGGTCTGACGCAAAAGGAGGAGCTGGGGTAGGATGCAGACAGACTCGAGGATCTGCGAGAAATCCCAAATCCACTATCGGTGGGTGTAAGTTGCTTGCTGCCACAAGCCATGGGGACACACATACCACAAACATGCTCCAGTGCGACTTTGGCTCAAGGATAAGCATGGCGAAGGGGGAAAGGAGCAGAGCGCCGCCGAGGGCGCCAGCACCAACCTTCCAGGCCATCTCGCGCTCCCTGGATCGGGGATAGATCCACTGCATTATCCCAACAGTGTAAAACGACGAGAGAATGTAGAAGGCCTTGAAGAAGCGATTCCAAAGCACTTGTTCGGAGAAGAAGTCGGTATATCTCGTACAAAAAACCAGGGCATACAGCACCTGGGTGATGAGGGAGACACCTGAATATAATTGTCAACATGCTCTACCTTAGTCGGCATCGGATCAATGGCAATGTACCTTCCGCACTCCTGTTGCGATGGATCGAGAAGAGGAGGATGCATTTCGATGCAAGGTGGGAGCAGTCTCCCAGCAATCGGAATACCTAGGCGCGCATCAGACTAGCCACATTATGGTATTCGCATTGGCGAAGTCTCTACTCACGTTCCAGGCTGTCATTTTGTATGTCGGAAGCTTGATGAGAATACGGAGTCGACTTCCAATGGGTGTAGTTTGAGGTTACGATTGCGAAACAAGTGGCCAAGGTCACATCACACGATGCGGTGCGCCGCGGGAGTATGATCTAGCAAAGTAGACCGATACAGCTAACGAAACCGCCGTAGGCTTTGTACTCGTCGTTCGTGTAATCGTCGCAATCGTAGATGTCGTTGCGGTCGTTTGAATCGACGCTGCCTAGAGGGATGTAGGCAGTCAAAATACCTGCTACCTACTTGTGTTGCGTAATGCAGGTGAGCAGTCCCAGGCACGCCTCCGCCTGGGTGTCTCCCCTCTCCGCGGATGGACACCTGGGCGACAAGCTTGGGTGGCCTTATCGATGACAGTACCCACCAACAGCTATCCGTTCTAGGGGTACCATGTACCTCTCAGCGGAACGAACCCCCACCTCTCAATCCAGGGGATGTGGCGCATCGTGAGGTGGCTGGGCCACCGAATCACAGTGCACTCCAGATCAGGTTGAATAACCTCGTACTGTGTGAACGGTGGCCCCAGCGCTGCGCCCCAGAAGGTGCAAGGGCATTCATTGTCAGACCCTGCTCCTGCTCCCTGGTACACTTGGTACAGTATTGTGTACGTAGGCGGTCTTGATTATCGGTGCCCTTCCTCCGCAGGTAGCTCGAGTATCAAGACGGTAACCCGACGTATCCGCACCCCTACCACCTCGGAATAGCTCCACATGAAGCCGCCCTGCATCCCTTGATCGCATGCTTCAGGTCCTCGCATTCGCAAGTGTATACACAGGTCTCCAAGCCTCGAACAAGCTACGAATAGAGTGTGATGACTTCTCCACTAAAAATTACCACCCTTGTGTTGCCAACACTGCCAACGATGCTTGAGCTTGTTCATTCGGCCCCACGCCCGGAGAATTAAGCTTACAATGTCCACAGTAGTGACTCCATGTCTTTTGGCAGGTCGTTGGCGTCATCTTTCCCATAACACATGTAGATGGATTTGTTTGTAGATGAATAAATTTCTCTAGGCATTGATGGCCGGTGAACCCGGGAATATAATGATAGCAACCGTCAGAGTTGTCTAGGGCTTGACAACTCGTTAGTCCAACTGATGGTGAACGGCAGCAGACTTAGGATGGATGACCCGTTCCTACTACAAGGCAGGTAGTAGGAGAGGACCGGAGGGGACGGAGCGGGATCAGGCTATGAACCGCCGGAGTGATCCCTGCCATGCTCGCTGCCAACCCTCTCTCCGCAATCCGTCAATGTCTGACCCGCAAATAATCCCGATGACGATCTGTTACGCGTCTTCTGGGTCGGCATCGATCCTATAAAGACGTGTGGTCGTAAGCTCAAATTCTGAAAGCGACATTGTACGTCAAATTGGTGCTCAATATAGCCCGTTCCGTCTACAATGAGGCTCGGTCGGCTCCCTATCACCTTGTCAGCGTGGTTGGCCCTGGGAAGTGTTCCTGTCGCGGTTGCGGCTGACGAGAGTCTCCATCGTCGTCAGGCCAAGCCTGGGAAGTACTTTGGTAAGTTTTCATAGTTTGTCATTTCTCTCAGCCCTCTGAGAATTCAATCTTACTCTATCGTAGTTGAGTCTAGGTAAGGTGCCCGATGCAAGACTCCCGGCGGTCTTCCTACCTAGCTAATTGTGGAATGGGCTGGAAGCTTCAGTGCACACTATGATGGCAGATTCGCGACAAAGCGGATCAAAGATGAGAAAACCCGACGAGAAGCATTGAGAGTCCTAATACAGACTTATCTGGCCACATTTGAGAGTATTGGCATCGAGACATGGCTCATGCATGGAAGTCTCCTGGGGTGGTGGTGGAACAAGAGGGTAACCGCCGAGACTTCCAGATAATCCTATGTGCTCTTGAAAACAGCTGACGCCGAAGTAGGTGATGCCATGGGACGATGATGTCGATGTCATGGTCTCCGAGCCCAGTATGTTTCTACTTGCCGCATACTACAACATGACAACCTACTACTACGAGTACCCGGCCATTCCAGAGGGTCGCTCCTTTCTGTTGGACATCAACCCTCATTACCTGGTTCGAGACAAGGGAAAGGGCCTGAACTCGATAGACGCGAGATGGATCGATATGGACCATGGCCTATTCATCGACATTACCACCGCAAGGTACAATGTCACATACGGGGAAGGTGAGGGCGTGTTGGTAGGCAAAGACGGTCACCTGTTTCGGGATACCTATCTGTTGCCACTCCTGGAGACGACCTTCGAGGGTGTTAAGGCGAAAATCCCTTACAAGTACAAAGACTTCTTGATATCCGAATATGGCAAAGAATCCTTGTCGGACAAGGAAATCAATAAGTAAGACCCTGCCGAACAGCCACACGTTTACATGTTACTGACAACCACCACAGCCACCATTTCGATGATGATAAGATGGAGTGGGTGCCTACTGGAGAGCTCTGATGGCAAATCAAAACCTAGTACGTTTGTTACTGCATGCAGTCTGGCCGTCTGTGCGAAGCAAACGCAAATCTGAGGACATGCAATGCTATCGTGCGTGCGCCCAGTCTGTTCGTGATACGGATCGCTGTCAGCTTCGAACCCGCCAACCACCTCATGCAAGCCAACTCACGGAGTTCCTCATGCCTCATCATCCTCCCGTGGTGTCCTAGCTTGTACAAGATGGAGGAAATGGCGTTACAAAGTGAACCAATGTATTTCTGAAACGTTTATCTCACGCTAACAGGAGACCCGTGCCTGTTGTGCGTCACCTGTAAACAGCTTCACACCGTTCTACACACTAGAGTGAGAACACGCCCCGAAACAAGATCAACGCCGCCGCAGAAGAGTCTGCCCCAAACCCGTAACCTACTCCCCCATCATTCCCGAGCCATGTCCCATCAGGACATGCTAGTAGTCGCCGATCTCGAGCGTGCCCGGCCGTCAAACTCCCAAAGGTATAATGTATATACAGAAAAAATGGAAGAATACAGAAGGCTTGTTCAAGCCGCAAAGCGTTTCTCGAACTCTTTATACAACTTGGGGCTGATCTCATCACTGCTCATACCCTCGACTTCCCACAGGACGCCCTTCTTGGCGTAGTGCTCCAAGAGGGGCTCGCTTGTCTGCTGAAACTTTCGGAACCGCTCACGGTAGACCTCCTCAGTGTCGTCGGGCCGTTGCATCAGAGGCTCGCCGGTGATGTCATCAATGCCGGCCACCTTGGGTGGATGGAAGGTGGTATTGTAGACACGGCCCGAGGGCTCATGGACCCAGCGGCCGGCGATGCGCTGCATGATCACGTCGAAGGGGGTCTGGAGAGAGACGACAAGATTGATTGGAATGATCTTGTCGCATGTCACGGCTTGCGTGGCAGTCCTCGGGAACCCATCCAGAATGAAGGAGGCATCAGGGTCCTCCGAGGCCTCCGGGGGGCCGTGGGCATCTAGAGCAGCCGTGGTAACGTATTCGTCGTGGGCGTCGGGGAAATCCCCTGCAGTGGCCGTGCTGGCGGCCAGAGTCATGACATTATGCTTGGCTTCGTTGGGACGCAGCCAACCATTCTTGTATAGTTCGTTCGAGATCAAGCGCATGATAAGGTCGTCGGCGACGAGGCCGCCAGTCTTCATTGTCTTCTCGACTCGGATTCCTGTTGAAAGAGTACGTTAGTCGGCGCGACATAGAGGCACAGTTAGGCGAGTGACTTCGCAACATACCAAGAGCCGTCCGGGCAGTGACATTGCTTCGAAGTAGATCGCCCGTGCTGATGGACTGGAGTTGGGGAAAGCGATGTAGGAGTCTCTCGGACTGGGTGCCCTTGCCGACGCCTGGCGCACCGACGAGGATAACGCGCGCTGCCTTTCGAAGTCTCATATTATATTTTCGGTGACGGATCGATTTAGATTGTCTAAACGATTGGTAATAAGATCTGTGTTGGGTTGTATATAGACGTCCTGTAAACGGTATCCGAAATATCAGACTAAGAAAGGGAAAATGAGCGACTCGATGTAGCTCGAGGTGCCGAGGTGGCACGGATTAACGGGAGGATAGATCTCGTGGCTCGTGAAATCGTCCCGCGGGCGCGGGGTGAAGTGGGAAGAGTTGAAGGGTCCGTGGAATGGAATGACGAAACCACAGGGTTCAAAAAGTCGGGCAGACGATTAAAAGATGATCATAGTCGTGCAAGTTTGATCATATAAGATGCGAAAATCGACAGAGATATGGGAGCCGACAGCAATGTGACGCGAGCGGCTACGAAAGGCCTAGAGTTATTGCCGAGGAGTAGATGTCCCAAGGCTAATGTGAGGATGGTGAGGATGGGGGCCGCCGGCGTGGGAATGTTACTAATGTACCAGGGACATCCAATGGTCGGATGCAGTTCTGGGGGGCAGACCAAGCTGGGGCTGCATCGGTGGCCCGCATGTTGAGTTGTGCGATGCAGTGAGAGTGGGGCGGAGACAGCCTTTCCCACTGGCCGACTGGCCTCTCGAGTGCAAGAGCCATTTACTGGCTGATCTGATCGTTGAAGACTGGATAAGGTAAGGCACAATGCCACGCCAACAGTCTGTGCACGCTCGATGTCCAGATAGTGGTAGAGATTACCGTGTGAGCCTTGAATGCTTTGGTTTTGTTAATTCTTGTTAATCGCATAGCAGGGAAGAGGAGTCTATGGACAGAATGGACGTGACTGGTCTGTAATCCCAGATCTAAGGCGAGCACAATCTTGAAAATAGTGTAGCTGAGATGTTATTTGTAACGAGAAGTGAGTACACGGTACGCTCTGTTCTCACGTTGACGGTATTGTACGGCGACGCTGCTTCAAGTGAATCCTCGCTCATTTTGTAAGAGATTCGAACCAGGATTTCAAGGCGTAACAATCGTTGCTTAGAAGAACGAGGCTTAATGCAAACTTTACAAGAGCCGATGCCGTCAGGGTACTCTGAAGTTTCTGCTTCAGACCAGCAAAACCTTGGATAGTTGACGCATGTGTGTACATGGTAAGTGGTCCACTCACGTCACCTACCTTTACCTGTACCTTAGGTAGGTACCTCCTGGAAGGCTTGTGACAACCATAACCAACAAGGGTGACTGTCGCACGTGAGAGACGTCGCTTCTCGACAACCACTGATCTCCCGACGTTTAGCCACAGGATTGCTCGGTTGCAACACGTAGCATGCTGCTTACGTCAACTCGGCTCCGGCAGTGAGCCTGCCCAATTGTGGGTAAGCCTGGCGAGGCTAGCGCCCCTGCATTCGCTGTGGAAAAGTTGCGTTGAGGCAACGAAAGGGAGGTCTCGGAAAGTCGGAGCTAACAGGAGGGACCCCAGTCAACCCCAGGACTGTAGACGGAAGTCGCATCTCACGGAATCTTCTCTCTCTCCATCCCTCAACATCCTCCATCAGATCAACTGCCCTTCAGCACGCAATATCACCCATGAACAGCGCAGCTCGATAGTCGTACGCTTCTCTCTACCCAGCCGTCGCGACATCAGGACTCGTTCCGATTATGAGCGCCTCCGCCAGCGTTGCCCGCCGGGCAGTCGTTGCGAACCCACTCGCTGGGAACGGTGCGCTTCATTCAACCCCCGTCAATTTGCCAAATCGCAAGACTGACATCATGTAGCACGCGCTCTCACAGGCCTTGCTCTGCCCCACGGATCTTTCAACAGATACGCCCGACACCTCCCCCGCAAGACTTCGGCACTCGCCATCCTTGTTCCCGTTCGCCACATGAGCACTGAGCATCATAACCAGAACCAACCGCATTCTGGCCCGCCCCCTGGGTTCAATGTCGATGCGGCTAAAAAGCCTCTCGCTCAAGATGCCTCATCCGTCCCCAAGAAGGGTCAGAGCTCTTCTGAACAGAAGAATGCCTCGAACAACAGCGCTGCAAGCTCATCCGAGGTTCCATTGAAGGAGGTTGAGCTCGACGCCGAGGGCGGTGCTGGTACTTCTGTGAAACAGGGCGTTGCGGTTGACGCTAAAGACTCCAAAGAGCAGAAGTTGACGGTGTGGCAGAAGGTGAAGAAGGAGGTGCATCACTACTGGGATGGCACCAAGCTCCTCGCTGCTGAGGTCAAGATCAGTACTCGACTGGCGCTGAAGATGGCTGCTGGTTATGAGCTCAGCCGAAGGGAAAACCGCCAGTTGAAACGCACCGTTCAGGATCTGGGTCGACTGATTCCGTTCTCCGTCTTCATTATTGTCCCCTTCGCCGAGTTGCTGCTTCCCGTAGCCCTCAAGCTGTTCCCCAACCTGCTGCCCAGCACGTACGAAGGACAGAAGTCCAGGGATGCCAAGGTATCGGGCCTTCGAACGACAAGAAAAGAAGTCAGCAAATTCCTACAGCACAGCTTGAAGGAATCTGGCCTCCCTGTGACTCCGGCAACCATCCAGCGGGAGGAGATTACGACATTCTTCCGGAAGCTCCGTTCTTCGACAGAGACACCTACCCACGAAGACATCATCAAGGCGTGCAAGATTTTCAAGGATGACTTGACGCTGGACAACCTGTCCAGGCCTCAGCTGGTTTCGATTTGCCGCTACATGAACCTGAACAACTTCGGTACGGACAACATGCTCCGTTACCAGATTCGCCACCGTATGCGACAAATCAAGAGAGACGACAGGCAGATTAGCTACGAAGGTGTCGCGTCACTCACTTCTGGAGAGCTGCAGATGGCTTGCGCCAGCCGAGGCATCCGCACGCAGAGCGTCTCGCCCGCGAGGATGCGCGAGTACTTGCAGCAGTGGCTCGACCTCCGTCTCAAGGAGGCAGTACCCTCGACTCTGCTTGTGCTCAGCAACGCATACATGTACGGCCAAGGAGCCGGTGGAGCGACGAGTCAGATCGATGCTCTTGTTGGCGTGCTTTCTTCCATTCCGGATGAGCTTCTCCACGAAATTGCCCTCGAGATTGAGACATCTCAGGGCGCTGCCACCAACAAGCAGCGTCTGGAGGTTCTCAAGGAGCAGCAGGAACTGATCGAGGAGGAGAACGAGCAGAACGAGGAGAATGCCAGCACTGGTCTGGCCACGCCTCGTGACATCGAGGACATTGACGAGAAGGAGGATGCGATCGCCATGGAGGCCAAGTCAGTCAGCCCCGAACAGGTGAAAGAGGCCGCCGAGGCAGAGCAGGAGATGCTTGACGCTAGGCGATCGCAAGAGGTGACCCCTAAGAAGAACGAGTGAACGCCGTTTGGTACTACTCTTACTACTACGATACACGCCTTAACAGGCGCCTTTTCTTTGTTTTAACACTTGTAAAGCATGAGGTGGGCAGGCAGGCATGTACCACCAAAATGAGGCGATGACTTGGGCGGTCTGACAGGGACCGAGAGCAAGCAAGCAGTAAAACTGATAGAAGCCCCTCCTCTGGAAAGCAAAGATAGAATCCCACTTTTGTACACAATGGCGGCACTAAATGGCCTGAAATGTATCAACAACAGACAGCCTTTGTTCTTAGGGGCCCAATCTCAGTTTTTCGCTCTCTAAGTGTGCAAACGGCAAGCCAACAAATTCAATGCCATGTAGAGTCTTCGCAGCGACCCCAGTGCGCTGCCCACCATCGGCGCATCTGGAAGCTTTCGTCATAGGTCCAAGGGAGAATGAGAAGTACAGGGGCGAATGGCTGGAGATAGCGGAGTACCTTTGGCAGCAGGCTAAGATTACAAGACTTCCAACACCGGAGCCATTTGATCCTACCAAAATTCTTTGGATGAAAATTAGAACTTCTTGGAACAATGTAGAGTAAGTCTGCAAGGTTCAAACATCTTCTATGCTGTGAAAATCGATGCGCAATGTTGTGGCGCGATGTACTCATCTATCTGGGTCAATGGGGGGTAAGGCCCGGAATAGGCCTGCAGAGCGGAGCGTCAGTGCTTCGAGCTGTCCTTGCGGGTTAAGGTAGCGTCGTCACTGTCCTAGGAACGGCCAACAGGCAGCTACCACTGCAAGTTCGCAACCAGACACCTCGAGTCAAGCGTTCGTCTGGTACTAGCTACGTAAATCTTACTCCGTCATACTTTTGCGACACATGCTCTACCTGTCCCGACGCATTTTCTCGCATCACGAGCAACTCTCCGGCGACGCCGAACGTCATCCTCATCCCAAGGTGAACACGCATTAGCCCCACCGTTACCGCCTGGAACGACTACCTTCGACACGATGGCACGAATTGAGCAGGAGGACTTCTCAAGCGTGTCCTGGAATAGTGAGCGCGCGGCTGAAAGACCACCGTCTCAATCGCAGGCTCCTCCTGCGGGTGATGCGCCTGACAGCAATGGCTACCAAGGACAAGAGGCCAACCACCTTGACGCTGGATTGGGCGAGGAGGTGCTCGAATGCACTGTCTCGCAGCCGTTGAAAGAAAATGAAGGGTCTAAGGACGTCTTCGTATCGTATCTCATATCTACTTATGTATGTTTGGAGTCCGAGCAACCGCGTCGATTGACGATGCGCTTTCTAAGCGCTGAGCGCAAGCGCTGACCATATGCCTAGTCCACCTTCCCAGCCTTCCAAAAGTCGACGAGCAATGTTCGTCGCAGGTTCACAGATTTCGTCTTCCTGTTTAAGCAACTGAGCAAAGACTACCCTACCGCAGCCGTCCCTCCACTACCCGACAAGCAGCGCATGGAATATGTCCGAGGGGACCGCTTCGGGCCCGACTTTACCAACCGCCGAGCGCACTCTCTACAGCGATTCCTCGCCCGACTATCTCTGCACCCTGTACTTCGCCGAGCTGATATACTGCACATATTTCTGGAGAGCCAAGAATGGAACGCAACCATGCGCTCTCGAGGCTCACGGGGTTCTCAGAGTAGCGATGGCGCCAACAACGGCGTGTTTGACAACCTGACTGAGTCGTTCATGACAGCATTCTCCAAGGTCCACAAGCCCGACAAGCGCTTCATCGAGGTTCGAGAGCGGAGCGACAAACTCGACGAAGATCTGGTGCAGATTGAGAAGATTGTGGCCCGAGTCGCCCGTAGGGAGAACGATATCGAGACCGATCAGCGAGACCTGGCTGAGCAGTTCCAAAAACTCATCCTTCTTGAACCTGGTGTCGAGACGGCAGTACATCATTTTGCAGCGTCTATCGAAGATACTGCCCACGGCACACGGGATCTCAGGGACATCACAGACCAGGACTACCTCGGTAGTCTGAGAGATATGCAAGCGTATAGCATGGCGCTGAAGAGCCTTCTTAAGGCGCGCGAACAGAAGCAGGTCGACTTCGAATCACTCGTCGAGTACCTTAACAAGGCCACCGCGGAACGAGACGGTGCCTTGTCAGGTCACGGGGGCTCTGGACTGTCTGGTGCAAGCGGATTCATCACGCGCAAGTTCGAAGATGTCCGTGGTGTCGACCACGAACAGGCGCGTCGCGAGCGACGGGTCAAGCTTGAGCGCAAGATCGACGACCTCACCGGTGCCATCGAGCTGGCCAAGAGAACGAGCGAGGGTTTCGACAATGAGGTTGTCAAAGAGATCAACGACTTCGAGCGCATCAAGCGGGCTGAGTTCAAGTTGCAATTGGGAGGCCTCGCGGACGCACATATTGACTACTATGGCAAGGTGACTAGTATTTGGGAGCAGTATGTGCGGGACATGGAGAAGCAAGGCGTCACACAGCCCACCGATGGACCGGAACCACCAGGCAGGCAACTGTTGTAAGGGCAATGCAGTGTTTACTTTGAAGACTTAGTCAAGGTAGAGAAGTGGGCGACCGGGAAGATTCGACAGGCTGCTTGGAAAGGGTTCATTGCTGTTAATACCGTCCTGCGTGATTGCCGTCCTAATTAATAAGTGCCAGCCGAAAAGTACACGAGACCACCATTCTGCCTTGCGTAAGGGAACTGTACATGTAGGACTGAAGCTAGCTCGGTGTGTATCACCGTTATTATTAGAAGCTGGGCTGAAAGTGTCTTACGCGGAACTGTTGACGCAGGCGTAGTGCTTCGTGCCAGAGCAGGCAGAGGGATAACACGACCAATCTCGATCCAACAGCTTCGTAACCACCATTTCTCTCGTGCCGAAGGCTGCTTCGGCACCTTATTAGGAGACCAGGCAACAAAGGTAAAACTTAGAGTGGTCCGTGGTAAATCTAGGTACTTCTGTACGCAAAAGTACCTATGTCGACCTCCCTCGCCCGTCTAAGGTTAGGTAATGGTTGGGCTGTGCGCATCATTATCTTGGTAGGTGTTGATCCACCCAGACCTCCCTCGTGAACCCTTATGGACTGGGCCAGCCCAGCAGCATAGGACGCGAGCACAGGCCGTGAAACAGCTGGACGTGGATTCCTCGTTTCGGCCGCCTTCCCATTCGGGACACTTGCCTTGTCTTCATCTTGCGTTTCCAGAAGGCCACGACAGCGACATCAACCTGACCCATGTTTTCGGCATTTCAAGACTTGCCTCTCTCACCATCCGCCTTGGATTTGGAAGCGTACATCTTCGATTGACTATTGAAGCCTTGCCGTTCGCCTGTTCGGTAGGCCATCTTTGGTGCGACTAGTTCTGCTCAAGGTACGTCAATTGCACTGCATGGCAATCTGATGTCCTTCAGCCCCCCCTGAGGATTCAGTAGATCGCCCCCTCCCAAACCCGACGCCTTGTCAGACTTGCGCCTTCTCCAGCATAGCCGCAACTTTCTACCAACCTTCTTTTCCCATCTGTCATCAGCGATCTCTTTGATTGCTCTCCCCTGTTCGCCATTCACTGCTCATCCCTTTCGGCGCATTCTTGAGACGCGCGTGCACAGCAACCTCGACTTCATACTGACAGCATACCATCCAGCGACATACTACGACCGATTCATTCCTTTGACCTTACTCGGCATTGATTTGCGATAGATCTCCTCCTATGTCTTAGGCCTCGAGAACAGATCTCCTTTTCACTTCTCCCGACCACAGAATCTCTTCCTAGTTGGAGAGGCTTTCGTGTCTATACCCCGAACACCCACCATGAAGGTTACAGCTGCCATCGGCCTTCTTGGCCTGGCTGCCGCTGCGGCCGGCGCAAAGCATACGCCTCGAAACTACGAAACCAACGACTACTATGTCCTCGAACTCGACTCTTCCACGGCCCCGCATCTCGTCGCAGAGCGCCTAGGCCTGAGGCACGAGGGAGAGCTGAGCGGCCTCGACGGCCACCACATCTTTGCTGGGAAAAGGGCAGTGCATGATGTTGTCAAGCCCGAGATCCAGGCGAGTCGAAGAAGGAAGCGCGACCTCGACGGATTCGATATCCTCGATGGTGTTCGCTTTGCACAGAGACAAGTCCCACGTGCACCGTGGGAGAAAAGGGCGCCGCCGCCCGTCATGAAGCCGGAGCCACAACCGGCTGTTGTGCGGCAGGAGGTCGACGCTGCTCTCGCGCAGCAGCAGCAGCAGCTCATGAAGACGTTGGGAATCAACGACCCCATCTTCGACGTGCAGTGGCATCTTTTCAACCCGGTTCAGAAGGGCCACGACATCAATGTGACTGGTGTCTGGATGGGGGGCATCACCGGCCAAAACGCGACCGTGGCCATCGTCGACGACGGCCTTGACATGTATAGCGGCGACTTGAAACCCAACTACTATGCTGCCGGTTCCTACGACTTCAACGATCACAGGGATGAGCCGAAGCCTACCCTGGCCGACGACAGGCATGGCACAAGGTGCGCTGGCGAGGTTTCTGCCGCGAAAAATGACGTCTGCGGTGTCGGTGTCGCCTACGATTCCAAGATCGCCGGGCTGCGTATTCTGAGCAAGCTCATTTCGGACGCTGACGAGGCCGTGGCTATGACCTATGACTATCAGCACAACGATATTTACTCTTGCTCGTGGGGCCCACCTGACGACGGTCGCTCCATGGACGCGCCCGGAATCTTGATCAAGCGCGCCATGCTCAAGGGCATCCAGGATGGACGCAACGGTCTTGGCTCCATCTATGTCTTCGCCAGCGGCAACGGAGCAGCCAAGGAGGACAACTGTAACTTTGACGGCTACACAAACTCGATCTACAGCATTACGGTTGGTGCCGTTGACCGCACCGGTCAGCACCCATACTACTCCGAGAAGTGCTCCGCGCAAATGGTTGTGACATACAGCAGCGGTGCCGGCGATTCTATCGTATGTTGTGCCCACTGCGTCGGGTCTGCTTTTGCTAACTGACAATCCAGCACACCACCGACGTCGGCCCAGATGCGTGCACCGACGCACATGGAGGTACATCGGCGGCCGCTCCCATTGGTGCTGGAGTCTATGCTCTGGTTCTTTCTGCGAGGTCTGACCTGTCGTGGAGAGACATGCAGTGGCTTGCCATGGATACTGCTGTGCCTATCAACTTGGACACTGGGGAATGGCAGGATACGACCATCGGCAAGAAGTTCAGCCACACTTTTGGTTACGGCAAGATTGATGCTTACGCCATGGTCGAGGCCGCCAAGATTTGGAAGAAGGTCAAGGCCCAGGCCTGGTACTATTCGCCCTGGGTTCACGTCAACACCGCCATCCCTCAAGGCAAGGATGGCCTAGCTGTTTCCCACGAGGTCACTTCTGATGCCCTCAAGCAGGCCAATTTGGCTCGCGTGGAGCACGTTACTGTCACCATGAATGTTAACCACACTCAGCGGGGTGACTTGAGCGTGGACCTGATCAGCCCGGATGGCATCGTCAGCCACATTGCGACAACCCGCAAGAATGACAAGGATGCGAATGGCTACATCGACTGGACCTTCATGAGCGTGGCTCACTGGTATGTCTCCGTGCAATAGGTCCAATCTCGTGCATCGAAAGCTGATATGTTTCTAGGGGTGAAAAGGGTATCGGGAAATGGACTGTTATCGTCAAGGACTCTGTGAGCAACCAGCACCAGGGCACCTTCATCGACTTCCACATCAAGCTTTGGGGCGAGTCGATCGACGAGAAGAAGGCTACCAAACTCCCAATGCCCGAGGAGAGTGACGACAACGACCACGCCAAGATCCAGACGACTACCGTGGCTGCAGCTACGACCTCTGTCAGCCACCCACCTCAGGATACAGGTTCTCTGGAGGCGCACCCGACTGATCACCCTGACCGACCGGCCAAGGTCAAGACGACCACGACAGCTGCGGCTGAGGCTACCACGGAAACCAGCGCCGCGACACCTGCGCAGACAAGCGCATCTGCCCCCTCCGGCACCCAAGGGGCTCAAGGGGCGCCGACGAACAGCAACTGGATATCCTGGCTCCCGTCTTTCGGTGCCTCCACCAAGGCTCAAGTTTGGATCTATGGCGCCCTGGCGCTGATCGTAGCTTTCTGCTCGGGTCTTGGAATATGGTTCTTTATCGCTCGCCGCCGCAAGCTGCGCAACAGCCCCCGCGATGACTACGAATTCGAACTCCTGAATGAGGACGAATCCGAAGGCCTCAACCGCGGCGAGAAGGGTGCCGCCGCTGGTGGCAAGGGTCGCCGCACCAGGGGCGGTGAGCTGTACGACGCCTTTGCAGGCGGCAGCGATGATGAGGAGGAGTTTGTGGGTGAGGGTTACCATGACCAGGAGCGGTCAAGATCCCGCGAGGGTCGGAGGCGGGGGAGCGGTGACGATGAAGAACAACATGTCATTGGCGATGACAGTGACGATGAGGTTGTAGATGAGAAGCAGAGACTGGGAGGTGGCCGGCAGGGTTGATGTCCCCACCAAACTGGAAGTGTGCCCTTCAACGATAATAGGGGGGAAAGCAGCAGCCTATTCGCGTTCTGCTGGGTATTCTGTACGATGGCATCTCGCTGTTGGGTAATCGGGTTGTCCTTGCATGTGCTCAGCCACTAGGCTGGAAATGGAGCAGGCGTTTGCATCTTTTCTCTATGGAACCTACAATTATGTCTTACCACGCAATGGATGAAGTAATTGAGGCTATGAAGCATGCACTACACGAAGTCTTGGTTGTTTCTTTCATGTGCATGACTGAACCGCCCGCAAGACAGTCAGCTCATTTCAGTGCCTCACAGGGTTAGTTGATGAGCACGATGTGAAGCAGCTTGCGAAGGCAAAGGTTGTGTAGTCTGCTGTGGTAATTCGAGGAGAGGGCAATGATTCGATTCTCTTGCAGAAACAAGAGGTGTCTGTCACGAGCTTTCTGAGTAGTGTGACGCCCAAGACCAAGGGGTCAGCCAGCGAGCACTCCAGTCGCTTGGGCTCCGGGAAAAGGTTGAGCAACCTAGTCTCAGATAGCCTCTGTTCCTGCCGCCTCGAGCGCGACATCGAGCGGCAAGCTAGTGACGGTGGCTTTTCAAACACAACCCGACCAACAACTCGGGTGGCTGGGAAAGACGTGCAGCAGGGGGGTGACGACGCCAGTGTTAGGGGATCTCACCGTCGCTGCGCGCGCGCTGGGGCCCACAGCCGACCTGTCCCAGTAGAGCCAGCCGAGGGGTGCAGGCCCTGTACTTCGCAGTGCTGTATTGTGTTACTGCGTCGTTCCGTCTCTTAGAGATGCCATGATCGCCGAAGATAACCTATGTGCATGCGTTTATCAGTGCGTCGGGGAGGACAAGCAGAATATGTCTCTCGATATAGCAGACTGTTACACTACCACATACCTGGATGACATCCCCATCGACAGGTCTCAGAGCGGACGGGCGAGATATCAGAATCCCGGTACATGCGCCTGTGACGTGTCTAAGAGCCTTATGCTTGTCGTCATGCCACCTCCGATGAAGTGCTGAGGCGTCAGTGCGTACTTTGCCCAAGGCACCTAGGTAGGTAGGTATCTTACTTCACTTAGGTTGCAGCGGTGTGCGAGCTCCTAGACACGCGTATGCGTGCTTGTGCCAACATTGTGTGTATCAACTGCTGAGCGTACCTAAAACCAACGATCAAGACGTAATGTAACGAGCAGCAAGATGGCAACCTCTGGCTCGCCATGCTGATAGCCTAGAATGCATCTAGGCCAGACAAAATGCGGGGAGGGGTCGCGTAGTCAGTGGGCGAGGCTAGCTGCCCGCGCTGGGTACGCTTGCTCCCGTCGATGTCCCGACCGCTTTTTTTTTCCTTTTTCCCACGTTGCCGCTCTGTAGCGTCAACGGAGCCTGTGCCCCAGCCCACCTGCGCCGTCGCGCGGTGGGGGCCGGGTCGGTTTTTCCCTTGGATCCTACCTAGTCACGATCCTGGCTCCCGATCCTGGTTTCCTTGCCAGCTCCCCCCCCCCCCCCCCCCCTCCCCCTTCCTCCCCAAACTCATTACCCAAGCTCCGGCAGGAACTGCCCTGGTCAGCTGCCTTCCCTGTTCTTTTCTGCCAGGGTGCCTGCTCTTCGCGCTTCAAACGAACAATGACGGCGTAGCGCGCAGCCCAGCCTGGCGTCAACCTCGCTCTTTTCCCTGCAAGCTTCCTATACTTCTTCCCGGTGACCAGCCTCTTCCTTATACAGACGACGCCGTCTGACCGTACCGCCGGACCTTATTGCTTTTCCAACCCTTTTGCTTCGAGTCGTTTGCTTGGCGCCCCCGTCCTGTCGGCGATCATCATACTTAGCAAATATTACTCCTACGATAGATATCCTCTTTACGTCCTATCTCCATCGCTTCGCATGTGTCTGCACCGCATTGGCTCACTTCTCAGCACACTTGCTCCGCCTCGCCTGGGCCATGGGAAGCTGCATGTCGCCTCGTAGGCCGGGCCATTCTTCCACGCTTCTCCTGCAGACCGTCTAGGGCTCATTCGGCCCTCATGGACTGACCTCTGTACGCCCAATCTGCAAATCCACCGACCCAATCACCTACTTCTCTCTCATACTCGGGATCCATGCCCAATCCTGCCACCCAGCCATCTCCAGAGCACATGGCCACTCCCTACTGGGGCGCCTTGCCCAAGGGTCCAAGTACCGCCCGCCGCGTCTCTGGTGATGATCAGGTCCTCAACGACCAGCCACCGCTAAACCACATGGATCCCTTCTCTAGCTCGAGTGCCCCCCAACAACAACCTCGACGAGACCGCGCCTCAGTCCAGACAGCACGCACTGGCTATACTGAAGCTCCCACCGAGTCTACCTTGAGCCCCTTTGTCTCACCTACGAGGTCAAGCTTCGCACCGCAAGGACTGGCGCCGCGGCCTCCAACCCTACCCTACGGCTCGTCTGAATACGCCGACGAGTTTGCCGAGAAGCGACAGCGCCGTCGAAGCTTGAAGAACGAAGAACAGATCGACAGGACAGTTGGACCCACGCCACCTGCTGCGCCTGACGTCCCTCGAGCTCCTCCCGTGAGCTATCGTCAGCCGTACACCCAGAGCGTCCAACCTGCCGGACCTCTGGCACCCCAGCGTCAAAACGTCCCTCCCGTCGATATCGACGACATGGAGCCCGAGGCCTACTACAAGGCGGATGGCCAGCAAAACTACCCGCGCACTGAGCGTTCACAAGGAGCCTCACGCCCGGCTGGTCCGCCCAGAGATGCCCGACATGGGAGGAGGAAATCCTCGGCGACGAACACTGTACCCCTCAATGGTGCTGGGGAAGCATTGGATTCTGCCAACCAGCCCACCAGGATACCAACTGGTCGGAAGGTCTCTACAGACATCCGCTCGCCCCTCCAGCATCTCGAGACTGTGCTCAGCAAGGAGGAGAAGCGTGCTCGCATGGAAGCCGCTGAACAGAGGGTACGAGCGAAAGCGAATGCCGATCCAAAGTTGCTGCAGCCGATCGCGCAACGAACGCAGCCCCGACAGCCCAGGCCACAACCACAGCAAGCCCTAGTACAGCAACCACAGCAAGTCCGATTCAGCAACGATCGGGACCCAGACATTTATGAAGACACCCCGCCTCGTGGTCCTCCACAGGTAAACGCTGTCGCGGCAGCCCCGGCAGCCGCAGGCTCCCGAGGATATCTTCCTCAAAGTGCCCCAGAAGACGGAAAGTATCAGTCTACCGCCTCTCAGCAAAACCGTAGACCTTCCGAGCCCGCGTACCCCGATGTGCACCAAACTCAGGAACACAATTCAGGAATCCCTCAGCGCAATCTCAGTTTCCGTGATCGAGCGCAGAAGGATGACCTGCGGTTGCCCAGCAGCAACCTGAGGAACCAAAACGAGGCCAGTCCGCTCTCAATGCCGCCAGTCACGACACCCGGCGGCGGCTTCTCTCTCACCAGAACCGGTAGCAACAAGTTGAAGAAGGAAAAGCCTGGCGATCCGTGGTTCAGGGTAAGGCAGCAGGCGGAGCAGCAATACAGCAACGCTGATACGCGAAATCTCGCCATGGACAGGTCAGCCGCTGCTATAGGCGGTAGCGCAGGCTCAGTGCAGCGATCAGGCTCTTTACAGGGCCAACAGTACCCTCGAGATCCCAGTATCCCCTCCGAGCAGGTCGAGCGGGCCGGCGTACCAAGTAAGGCTGCGAGATTGATCGGCATCGACATGGGCGGGGTTCAACGCAGGTCTACTGCACCCACAGTCAGGAGACAATCATTCGATCAATACGAGGTTCCCCAGCGTGAACCAGTACCTGTAGATGGAGCACCAGCTGTTGCGCTCCAGACCGGGCGGTACGCAGATGCTCGGCGACAGCGACGGAACGAGGACAGCGATTACAACTCCTCCGACGATGAGCGCGGTCACCATGTCTCGAACATGATCTACCGAAAGAAGGAGCATATGAGCCCTGGTCGCGGATTGTACCTACCGCCTCAATGGCTTAATGAGTGGCAGAAAAGCACGACTGGCCTTCTTGGAGGCTCGCTACTCGACCTCAGTCAGGAACAGCTTCCGGTGATTGATAAAACCACGCCGTGGTGGGAAGGCGACAACACGAGGAGGCGGTCTAGTGTTAATTCGAGGCCACGCAAAGCTGAAGCATTCGACGGCGAGTACGACGAAACAACAGGTGAGTATCTTCGCACGTCTTCTGCCAGCATACGCTTACTCATGACTACAGCGCCCACTAGGTTTAAGCCATCTCTGCACCTCAAATGTGGTCCACTTCTGCGCTACTGCGGTATTCGACATGAGAAGGGCTTGGTCGGTCGCTCAACCAAAGCTGCTCCTGCGGATAGAGAGATTTGGAGAGGCACGGTCATGATTGTGACACAAGACTCCCAGTCGTCATACGAAATTTCTCCTACACTTCGCCTGTTCGTTCAACCGATAGAGCTGTTGCCTCCGCCTCCCCATGAGATCTCGGGCGAACAACCACTAGCCCCTGAGTACGTTGACCCGATAGCAGGGTTACCGAAGCTAGGAAGGAGAGGAGAGACATTGTACGTTCGCCCGGTGGAGCATCTTGAGGAAGCCAAAGACCTCTCCAGGGACGAAACAGACGAGGGTCTCTTCGAGACTTTGAGAAGCCCTCCCGACTACCCTGTAGCCGAGGGTGCCGTAGATCTCTCATACACCAGTCGGCGCGCCCGCGCCAAACTGGATGGCGAAAGAGCATCAAAGTACAAAGATGTACGAGGATTCCGTTTGCATGCTGAGAGGGGTTACACCTTCTGGCGCTTCAACATTGAGGTCGAGCTCGGCGCGAAGCAGCAGCGCATCGCCTACCGGATCAACAGAGGTCCTGCTCTAGGATTTTGGGTTCCTGCCAAGGGGCAGTCGATGAACATTATGTTCCACAGCTGCAATGGCTTCAGCATGAGTGTTAACCCCAATGACCTGAGCGGCCCTGACCCTATGTGGCGAGACGTTCTTAACAATCACCAGACAAACCCTTTCCACGTCATGATTGGAGGCGGTGACCAGGTCTACAACGACTGCCTGATAGGCCAAAGCGACCTTTTCAATGACTGGTTGGACATTCGGAACCCCCTACAAAAGCACAACGCGCCTTTCACACCGGCAATGCAGAACGAGCTTGAATCGCTCTACCTCGAGCGGTACTGTATGTGGTTCTCGCAAGGTCTCTTTGGGCTCGCCAACTCGCAAATTCCCATGATCAACATGTGGGATGACCATGACATTTCGGACGGCTACGGTTCATACCCGCACCATGACCAGAACTCGCCGTGCTTCTCCGGTTTAGGTGCTGTTGCATTCAAGTACTACATGTTATTCCAGCATCAGAGCATCCCTGTCGAAACCCCATCCACGGAACCGAGCTGGCTCCTTGGCGAGAAGCCTGGGCCGTACATCAACGAGCTTAGTCGCAGCCTTTTTACGTCTTTGGGCTCCAAGGTTGCGCTATTAGCCGTCGATGCCCGCACCGAGAGGACTGAGGATGATGTTATCAGCGAGGGATCCTGGAAACTGATCATGGATCGCTGCTATGCAGAAGTCAAGAGTGGCACAACGGAGCATCTGTTGGTGCTACTTGGAGTGCCCATTGCTTACCCAAGAATGGTGTGGCTTGAGAACATGTAAGTTTAGTGACTGCTTACACCAGTCGATCCCGTGCTGACTTTATGTAGCCTCACTTCTCGGATCATGGATCCTGTCAAAGCCATGGGTAAGCTTGGTTTGCTTGGGAACGCACTCAACCGCATCGACGGCGGTGTTGAGGTGTTGGACGATTTGAACGATCACTGGACAGCCCGCAACCACAAGAAAGAGAGGAGTGTGGTCATCGAAGACTTGCAGGATCTGGCTGCAGACAAATCAGTGCGGATCACAATTCTCAGTGGCGACGTTCACCTTGCCGCCGTGGGACAATTCTACACCAACCCCAAGATCAGTCTTCCGAAGCACAAGGATTTCCGCTACATGCCGAACATTATCTCCTCAGCAATCGCTAACACGCCACCGCCGAATATGCTTGCTGATGTTCTCAACAAGCGTAACAAGGTGCATCACTTTGACGAGAACACTGACGAGTCCATGATCCCCATGTTCTCGCACGGCGTAGATGGAAAGCCGAGGAACAACAAGCATCTGCTTCCACACCGCAACTGGTGCTCTATCCGCGAGTGGAAGCCAGGGATGACACCACCACCGACGCCTCCTCTTTCAAACCACGACGGAAGCCCCAGTTCTCCTCTCGCAAGAAAAGACAGCAACGGGGGTGTTATGCGGCGCCTGACCAAGACTCGTGGCCCTCAATACCGTCCTGACGCACCGCAACAACGCGAATCCCGGCCGCCCATCACAGGCGAGAAGTCTGGTGGACTGTTCCGCAGGTTTTCGAGGCGCAGCTCATCCGCAGGGCAAGACACTGCGCGACCCGGTCAACTTACTCGCACCATGTCACTGACCCGGGATGACTTCAGTCCTCGCAAGTTCTTTAACCGGCGTCCCAGTATATCACGACCGGATGATGGCGGAATCAATGGCCAATGGGGCCAGGCTGACGGGGAAGCCGACTTCTACCAGTACGATGATCCTCGCCGACCTCCTTCGCCGCCTAGGCAGCAGAGAGGTCTAGTCCTTCGTGGAGGCGGACGGCCTCAATTTGATGATCGACATGATGAGTTCCAGCCTGGTGACGAGGACTACTTTACGGCCAGGGCACCTCCTCGTCCTCCTAAGCCGCCACATCAGCAACAGCTGTACCCGCAAGGTTACCAAGAAGACGCACCACCTGAGCCGCCCGTGCCGATCAGACCATTCCATCGAACGCCTACGGGGCTGAGGAGGAACCAGACGGGAAAGGGAGTTGCTGGAGCACATGACATTGATCTTGAAGGCGGCCTTGACATCTGTCTCAATGTAGAGGTGAATCCTCGAGACCCAGCCGGTATCACAGTGCCATATCGTCTACTTGTGCCACGTTTGTTCTGGGAAGATTCCAAGGACGAAACGCCTCCAGTGGTGCAGCAGCCAGCTCCATCGGCCTTCAAACGATTGCTGAGCTTTAGAAAGAAGCAGCAAACGGGTGGTGGTCCAGTCAGCCCCCAACAGTCGAGCTCTGTGCCCGCGAGCCAGGAGTATCTTGGGGGCCGTGGGGATGGAGGACAGTGGGGGCCAGTAGCACGGGGCCCACAGCCGCCGGCTCAGCAGCATTACCACCACCAGGCGCCCCCTCCTCAACAACAGCAGCAGCAACAGTATGGACAGCCAGTTCAGCGCCAGCATCATCATCACACGAGTCAGCAACAACAGCCTATGATGACCCGTGCTGGACTTTCACAGCCGTCATCTAGCCGGGCGGGCGGCTTCCCGCAAGCGCATGTACCACCTCCACAGCACTTTCAGACGCAACCAGGCTCAGGGAAGCACGACGAGATTGAGTATGAGGAGTATTATGATACGCCAGACGAGGACGCTGGACGTTCAAAGAGGAGATATCAAGGCTTGGTAACGAGGATTGAAAAAACGCACGATTAGGGACAGGAGTTTTGCATCGATCAGAGGGTGTTGGGCATCTGGAAGGTAGCATACGAGGAGCGGTTGGTTCGGCAAGCTAGACAGCGGTAGCTCCCATTGCATACCTCATACACCTGGGGCATATGAACCGAGACAATATGATTTACTTTCTTGAAGCGTTGTGAAAGGGAGAACACGAAAGGCCAGTCTGGGTGCCTGATGCGTGGATGCTGCGTACACCTGCTGCTGAGCTACGTACATAAGAAGTGTGCGGCAGGAGAAGAACCAGAACCGCCAAGTTGAAACATCTAGTTGTTCGAGGTCGCCAGATCACCAATGCTAAACGAAGAGCGCATCGATTGGGCCGGCATGTCACCATGGGACTCGGATATGGCAAAGTCGGTTTCGAAATGAACGCAACCTCCAACCTAGGGCATCAAAATCGTTGGTTTTCCCGGGTGGCCGTTCATGATCTGCACGTGAGCCTCTCTCATTAAACAACGACTTACCTAGGCCTCTTGCTGTCCAGTTCTTACACACATCAAGTCTCACTGGGCAGTCGCAAAAGACGGTGCAATCTGCAAATCCATGTTAGTCCACACAAGAACCCCGCCGTCAGTCGTGTCGTTGCCTCAGGACATACCTTGTGAATGTGCTATCACGCGCCGACATGTTGTACATGTCGGCTCAGACACGTATCCAACTCCCCCACCCCCGTCTCGTAGAGGATACGTGCTGCTCCAGGACCAAGAAGGCGCAGTCCGGAAGACTTGTGCCGGTCCTCCATTTTTCAACTCATCCTCTCTGTCTTCTCTCCGTGTTCTGTTCCTCTTCATCATCATCTGCTTTTTCCTTCTTTCTTGCAAATGTCTGAACTCGGCTAGGCTTCACGCGAGCGGACGTTGGAGGTTTACTCGGCATCGACGTCCGCCGCCTTGTCGGCCCCGGCAGCGACGCCCGGTGTCCTGCTGCGGCTTCGGCTCCTCCCCCTCCCGCGGTTCTGGGCGCGAGCCCTGCCGCCGCCTCCTCCGCCGCTGCCGCCGCCGCCGTGGCGGTCGCTGTTCTTTCCCTGGCGGGGGTCGCACAAAGGCGAAGTCGACGCTGATGGTCTGGTCGAGCAGCTTGGCCTTGTGCGCGTCGTCAATAGCGGCGCGGGCCTCGGCGAGCGTGGCGTACTCGATGAGGGCGTAACCCTGTGATCGCGGGGGTGGTCAGTAGTCATTCTCTCTCTCTCTCCCGCTCGCTCTTCTGAAGGATACAGCGAATAGAGGGGCGTCAACAGAAGACCATCCTCACCTTGACGTAGCCGCTCCGCCGGTCGAGGGGCAGGTGCAGGTTCTTGATCTCGCCGTACTCGCCAAACATGTCGTGCAGGGCCTCCTCGTCGGCCTCCTCGTGGACGTTGGTCACGATGACGATCCAGCCCTCGATCGAGCGGACGGCGGTCGCGCGGCCGTGCGTCTGCATCTGCGACTCATTGCGCGGGGGCGCCTGGCCGTCGTCGTGGGCCTGCTGCTGCTGGGTGTCCGTCTCCCCCTCCTGCTGCTGCTGCTGGGGCTGCTCGTCAATGTCCATCTCGACGTCGGCCATTGTGACGGTGGTTCGTGGGGCGAGGTTGAGAGATTTGCGCGTCCGGGTCTGTTTTTGCTCTACGGCGGGCTCGGATCGAGGTGTGACGGGTGGAAGCGCAGGTGTCGTGAGATTTCAAGGTGGCAGAGGTTGAGGTCGCAATGTTGATGGGCGCAAGCAGTAGCTCAATTCGACCGTGCCTGGCAGCAGCTGGTGGTGCCGTGCCCCACCCGCCCTGTGCGACCCGCCGGACTTTGGAGGGCCCGTTCCGGCGGGCAGAGAGAGAGAGAGAGAGAGGCACCTGGTAATAGCAATGCATCCCGTCACGAATCGTTCAAAGTCTGCTGGCATGGATTTCCATTGATGCTTCATAATAACCGTCGACAGGCGCAGTACTCCTAGTATTTACAGGAACCTTCACGTCTGGGATAATCGAGCGACAGAGCTCGACATCGCAACGTTCCGTGCGGCTACAAACCTGGCAGCCTGCTGATCCAATGCCCGGATGTAAGAAAACAAATATAAAATACCTAACGCCATGCAGTCCCTAATTCCTAACCTCCAGACCGATTCCCCCGAAAGTCAAGTCAAAAACGCCTAGGCAACCCGTCCTCTCATATCGCAACACTATCCAGAGTGAAGTTCTGGCTGGCTTCTCGGAGGCTCAAGCCCGTTATGCTGAAGATGGTCATCTCAAGCTCCTCCTCCGGCATGGCTTGATCCGCCTGTTTCTGCCCCTCGAGAACGTCGTACAGCGCGTAGATCTGGTCGTTCTTGACCTCGAGCCTCTTGAGCATCTCCCTCATACGCGACGCCAGGTCCTTGCGCGCCGTACGGCCGAGCGCCGAATTGAGGTCATTGTAACGCGCTTGCAGCCTGGAGAACTCCATCTTGAGGTGTTCCGCCTCGTCCTTGAGACCCTTGATGACCATGGCCAAAGCTTGGCCGGGATGCTGCGAAGGCCGCATCGTCGGCTCTTCGGTGTAGCCTTCGAGCTGCTGCACCTGCTCCGTGGCAGGGATCGGCTTGGGAACGTGGATACGCTTCTTGCCCTCGGTCGCTTCTTTCAAGCTGACTGTGCCGCGGTGTCCTGTGATCCTGCTGCAAACGACACAGTTCTTACACTTGTGCTCGCAAAGATCGTCTAACACACGACGCGCGTTCGCAGACAGCGCAGGACAGTTGGCTCGGGTCTCCGATGGGCGTTCCTCCTTGCGACTGCGACTCGTCATATCGACAGTTGTCGACTTGTTGTGAGAGGGCTTCAAAGAAGACTTGGCCGACGTCACCTTCTGGCTCTGGCCCGTCATGTTCTGGGTCATCGTAACAGCGTGTTCCCGTGTGTGTTCAGACCGGGTGGTCATCTCCTTGCGGGACTTGGCCTTTGGCTCAAAGGTGATGGAGAGGTTTTGCGTCAGGTCCTGGGTGCTCTCCTGGGTCATGTATGCATCGGCATCAGCCACGAGCCCGCCTTTCGCAGCGCTGCGTTGGGCTGCCGTCCGCCTCTTGCTGCTGCGGTTCGCGCCTTGTGCGGTTGTCTTGCTGTTCTGTGCGTTCTCGGGAAGCGAAAAGGCGACTTTCTGGCCTTGGGTTGTCATATCCTTTTGTTGTGTTGCGTCTTTTCGGCTCTTCATGGCACGTGTGTCAAATGTGTTCTCGGGATCAGCAAGACTTCCCTCTGTCGGCCCATCGATCTCTGGAATCTCAAATGGCCTCTGGCTCTGTGTCGGCATGTCAGGCGGCGCCTTGTTGCTTTCGGTGGTCGCGTCGACGATCGAGTTCTCATCAATGGTAATGTCAGGAACAAAGAAGGCCGAGGTCATGTTCTCCTCGTCGCCGTCCTCCTCTTCGTCGTCGTGGCCAAGACGGGCGGAGAAGTTGTCGCCTTTGCCAAGTGGTCGACAATGATCCAGCTGCTGCTTAAGAAACTCGATTTCTTCCTTGAGCCGCACATTCTCGTCGTGCAGGTCGTGAATGCTGCGCTCGAAGCCGCTGTTCTCGCGGCGAAGCATCTTGTTCTCCTCAAAGTACTTCTCGTTGTGGCGCACGAGGCTATCATTGTCTTCCTTCAGAGTGATCTTCTCCTGGTCCACAGCGTCCATGTCCTGCTGCAGCGCGTCCACCTCCTCACGCGCCGCGTTCAGTTCTTGCTGCGCAGTGTTGGCGTTTTCGCGGAACTCCTCGTTCTCAGACATCAGGGAACGAGCATTGGTTCGGAGTGATCGGTTCTCGGCCACCAGAGACTCTTGCTCCCGACGCAACGAGTTGTTGTCGGCTCGCAGCGACTCCACCTCGTCTTGCAGAGCCTGCTGGTCGCGGCGAAGGGTGCTGTTCTCGGCCCGAAGAGACTTGTTCTCCAGCTGGAGCGCATCGACTTGGTGCTTTTGCGTTTCGCCCGAAGACGGGGCCACGTTCTGAGTGGTTTGCAGCTGGAGCGTCTCGTCGAGCTTCTTTTGCGTCTCGTTCAGCTCCTTCTCGCGAGCGTCAAGCTTGTCCATGAGTTCGCCAATGTTCTCGCAAGCCTGTTGCAGTTTCTTCAGAGCCCGGTCCCGCTCCAGGGATAGGGTGTTGTTCTCCACGTCGTTGACCCCCATCTTCTGGGTCATCTGGTCGAGTCGGGTCTGCAGCGAGTTGACTTGCGATTCCAGAACTGGTGCGTGTTAGCCATTTTTGATTCATCACGTTGGGTCCAGACATGGTTACCAAGCTTCTCGGTGACCAGCTGCTCGTGCGCAGCCGTTTCGGGCTCCGAGCCGCTGCGAGAACCCAAAGCACTATCGATGGACTTGCGAGACTTCAGACGTTTGACCTCCTTGGACAGAAAGTCCACTTCGCCTTGCAGGTCGTCGGCGTACTTCTGCACCATGTCGTCGTGCTGCTGGAGGTTCTCAATCTCTTCGCGAATCATATCCATGGAGACGAAAATCTTGCCCTCGTCCTCGGGAATGGCAAGGCCGTCGACTTCGGCATGGTCGTTCACCGGGCGGTTGTCGCGGTTCTGTACGCGGCCATGCTTGACAAAAACAGGGACGCCGTTCTTGATGCCGCCGAGGCGGAGATTTCCAGAGACAACGTCGTTGAGGTGGGAGATGTCAGGCATGACGAAAGACTGCATGGTGCCGTTGTTGCGCGCCGGGCTGTCGGTGGTGGAGGGGGAAGGGAACAGTTTGCGGATCGCGTTGAGGTTCTGCGGCGTGTGCTTCGACAAGTTGGTCTCGGCAACGGCGGGCGCCGGCTCGCTGTGGCGCGGCAGGGCGGACGAGGTGTGAGATCTCCGCATCTGGCTGATGCGGTCTTGCAGAGGTGCTTCGGACGGGGCTGGCTGGCTGCCCGAGGAGTGGCGCAGGTGTGCTCGGGAGAGAGGGCTCTGGGTGCGCGTCTGGTGGGCGAAGCGGGCCATCTCTGGCCGGATGGCGAGGCGGGCGGGGGATTTGGATATGGTGGACGAGAGGTCGGATTCGTTGTCGACGCGAGGTTGCATCTCGGCACGTGTGCGTTTCGAGTCTTGCCAGGCGTCTTGTGTGGAATCGTCCATGTAGTCGGGGTTGAATCTGGGCGGCATGTTCTCCTTGGCGCGAAGCGACTGCGCATTGTGCTTCGTGGCGGGGGCGCCGTAGTGTTCGGGCCACTTTCTGTGTGCGGCCTCAAGGTCGAATCTCGGGCCAGTAACGCGAGCAATATCCTCGTTAAGCTTGCGCGTAGACTCGCCGTCGGGATCGGACATGACAGAAGACATGGTAATGGTGCCGTGGGACCCCGTGGATGATGGGGGAGAGTTCCACGGGTGCAGCTTCTTCGCCGCTCGCTCCCTAAGCATGCGGGACTTGTATTGAATGTCAAGTGCGTTGGAGGCCATGGCTGCCTTGCCACGTCTTGCGGACGCGGTCGCGATCGTGGTCGTGGTCGTGGTTGTAGATGTTATTCGGTGAGGATGATGGTGCGTGTGTGTGGGCGGGCAACAAGGTCAAAGATGCGTGAGGGACGCGTCGCCGTGATGATATTGCTGGTCTTCTCTCGAGACGAGCAATTGATGTAAAGCTAGATGCTATTCACACGGAAATAGCAAGTAGGGGGGGAAGAAAAAAAAAAACGCGTGCAACTGCTCTGAAGGTCGAGAGCTTCGCGAGAACAGGACGCGATGTCGAGGAATGAGCGTTCTGAGATGAGCGAGCGAACCAGCAAGGGTAGGGCATGTTGGTTTGTTTACTTTCGCAAGTAAACATATGGGGGGTGCGTCCCCACCAGTGCTGTCACACCTGGCACACACCTGGCACACACACCAGCCACCGCTAGCCATCCCGCCAATCGCCCCGCCTGAGACATCTACCTGGAGCCTGCTGCCCGCTACCTGCCCGCTACCTGCCCGCTACTTGCCCACTACAAAGTACACGCCATGGGCTGGTGGAGCCACAGCCTGCGCAACGTCTCGCCAAGCTTGGCCATTTGGAAGGTGCGAGGACTTCCTTTGCTGAATCCCAAGTGCTGGTCGTGATCGCCCAAGCCTCCACTTGCCAACATGGGACCTTCTTCACTATTCCGTGACATGGACATGTTTTCTTCTCTTGAACCGAGGGAACAGACGAGACCCATACGTTTGCTGCTCTGCGCAATCAAACTCATGACGTTCTAGAGGCTTGCTGATAACGAATTCACGACTCATGCTACAACCTGGTTGACGCTCCCGAACCAGTATTCTCGCTGCACTTCCCACTTCAGACTGCACTCTGACATCCTTCACGGGGTTGTCATAGCTGGTTTACGGTCTCCTCGCCATGGTGCGCCTGAATTCCGCTGTGCTCGTGCTATCCAGTGTCGCAGCGAACGTCTTGGCCAACGCGACCATTCCTAAACACGAGACATACTGCCCAGTATTCATCAACGCCACGAATGCGCCCCTGGATTGCGACCCAAGCCGGACAGTGTCGTTCATTGACTACCCGCTGCCGCTTCTGCAGTCCGTCAATGGCTCTGACATCGATACCGAGGCCCTGGAATATGCCTTTGAGGCCCTCACCGTCATGCAGAGCGACTTCTTCATGCCGGCCCAAGGGACCTGGCCGGAAGCCATCGACTGGACCGTGGCCGTCATGGAGACCATGCTGTCGGGCATGCTGACGACCCTGTCACGGGCCTTCTCGGCCATTGACTTTCTTCGCAAGGACGACAAGGGGTCGGAGAGGAACCTCATTGACTCGTATTTCACGCAACTCGTGGCGTCCTATTTCGGCCAGGATGATGTCGCCATCCGCCATCAGGTCATTTTTTTTCGGTCTTTTCATGTTCATGATCAGGCACCCTCAAGTCGCAAGAACGTACTGCTGACGTATCATCAGGCCTACGATGACATTCTCTGGGTCGTCCTCGGCTGGGTCGACGCCATCAAGTTTGTTCACGTACACTCCACCCTGCACTATCCTCCCAGAGACCCCAGCAGCATCGTCAACGAAGACCTGGGGGACGCTCTGCGGAAGAGCCCGTGGTACGGCCACTTCTGGGTCCCGGCTTTTGCGCACCGCGCGAGGATCTTCTGGGACTCGGCCTCGCGCGGGTGGGACAACAACCTCTGTGGCGGGGGCATGGTCTGGGACCCTCGGCTGGCGCCGTACAAGAATGCCGTGACAAACGAGCTCTGGATCGCCGCGTCCGTGTCCATGTATCTCTGGTTTCCGGGCGACAACAACACGGCGCCGTGGATCAACGGGCGCTTCCAGCTCGGCGCCACGCGCGAGCCCAAGTACCTGGCCGCCGCCATCGAGGGCTACAAGTGGCTGGCCAACGTCAACATGCGGAACGAGGACGGCCTCTTCGTCGACGGCTTCCACATCTCGAGGCCGCAGGGCGACAAGAAGTGCGATGCGCGCAGCGAAATGGTCTTCACGTACAACCAGGGTATCCTGCTCACCGGTCAGCGAGGGCTCTGGACCGCCACCGGCAGCCCCTCGTACCTCGAGGACGGTCACAGGCTCATCCAGTCCGTCATCAGGGCGTCGGGCTGGGATCTCCGCCACGACAAACCCGTCGATGACCTTCGCAAGCTTCCCTACGGACGCCTGCCTCCCTGGAGAGGTCTCGGCAGAGGTGGCGTGCTCGAAGATGGATGCGATGCCAGCGGCACCTGTTCGCAGGACGGACAGACGTTCAAGGGCATCTTCTTTCATCACTTTGTGACCTTTTGCGAAGCCATCCAGCCACCGGAGCCGGGACAGGACATGGAAATTGACCATGAGGCCCATGACAGGATCACGACCGCCCATAGGACGGCATGCCGGAGCTATTCGGGCTGGGTGGCACACAACGCCCGAGCAGCTCTCTTGGCAAGGGATGGCGAGGGACGATTCGGCGCATGGTGGGGAGCAGGTCTCTTCAATAACGTCTTGCCGACGGTGGAGACAGACGGGGTTCCTCACGACGAGCCCAACGCGACAGACTACCGCAATCACGGTATCCCACACGAACCTCTCTGGGTCAAGGGCAACCCCGACGAAATTTGGGCACCAGACGGAGAGGCTCGCAGGACGCCAGGCAAGGGTTCGAGCACGACGGCCCCCGTGCAGCCAGATCAGATGGTAATGGGGTCAACAGATGGCCTGCCCCTTGACACGCGACAGGAACTCCGCAAACGACACGAGACGTCAACGACGCGCGACCCGAACGATAGGGGCAGAGGCCGCACAGCCGAGACGCAGAATGGCGGCATGGCGTTGATGCGAGCTTGGTGGGAGCTCGTGGCCTGCGACCACGACCTGCACCCAGAGAGCTGAACGACTTTTTCCAGAACAGCGCATCAACAATCAGGGCACATCCGATCAACTAGGCACCCAAGAAAATCAAGAGGGCATCGCAACGCCTACAAAGCTGATGGTCAGCACTGCCGCCGTCAACCAATTCACCCATTGGTCAGGCGTGCGAGAGCGACGACCAGCCTGCCTAGCGTGCGCAATGGAGCTCTCACCTCTCTCGGCACCGAGTAGCCGGGCGCCCACGCAAAGCTCTCCCCCCAAAGGCGATCGGCGTGGCTTGACGAGGGCGTCCACACCTTTCGTCTCTCAAGCGCCGGCAAGCGTTGGGCCGAGAGAAGCGTGTGCGCAGCTTCGAATCATGTTCCTTTTTGAGACTCGAATCGTCTTCCCTTTTGGGACATGTGCCTAGGAGCAGGAGGGGAGAGTAGCGCACACGGCATGGCCGTCATGAAGGCGCAGCATCATAGACGATAGACACCAAAGGTAGACACGGAGGGGCTATTTGTTATAAGTAGGGTAGAAGATCGCTCACCATGTAGACAGCTTTCACATCATCAGCATCGCATTCCCATTCATCAACACCCATATCCTCCACTTCCACCAGAGCCATCTGCAACCTGCGAAACTTGACTTTGATCGTACCAATCAAGCCAAACACCATCCAGTTCTTTCAACCACCCACGTTCCCCAAAAATGGTCGTCGGTCTCGTCGCCAGTCTCGTGTCAACCCTCGTCCACAGCTCCAAGACCAAGTCTTCCTCCTCCGCCACCGCCAACCCAGAAGACCAGACAACAACACACCACCAGCAAGGCAGCGCCCACAGCACCCCGTGCCCGCGCGACTGCTCCATCTGCGCCGTCGTCCCCTCGCTCGCAACCCGCTACGAGCGCAAGCAGGAGCGCAAGGACAGGCGGTGCGCGCGCCGCGTCGCCCGGCGCGGCCACTGCTGCTGCCCGGCCGGCATCGTCGTGCAGCCCACCGCGTCGGTCGGCGGGTATCCCACCATGGCGTGGCAGGCGTACGGCGTGCGCCGCGTGAGCGCGCCGAGGCGGCAGGAGGCGGAGGGCCAGGAGCGCGGGTTGACGGACGGGGATGTGCCGCCGCCTTACGAGCAGGAAGATACCCGCCAGGCGTTGGATGAGAAGAACGGGCGTCTGTGATGGCGGTAGGGGGACAGGATGGGGGAGGCGTTGTGTTGGTTCCGAGCAAGCTATCTTCTCGTTTGTTTTACGAGTTCGCATCTTCTTCGGATACCGAAGTTCAAGGTCATGTTCGTTATTTTTTTAGTTCCATTGGTCCTGGATCATCTCTCTAGCCATCCCGTCTAGTTCATGAGAACCGTATTGTACAAAAATCAAAGTGACTTTTTTTTCCCCCGCCTCCAGTGATCAGACGCCCATCACGGCCCGGAAAGACACTTGATGCCCTTCGTAACGGCCTCTCGCGACACCATCGAGGACCGCTACCGTGCGACGAATTGCATGAAGTAGCTGTGAATCATCTCACCAGGTCTGCGACGGTGCGAGCTCATTGCCTGAGACCGGCAAGGCGTCGGCCCTGCACCTCGCTCAGAGCCTTGACGCCCGACAGGAAGGTGACGGTACCCACGACGCCGACGATGGGCAGGATGTGGAGCAGCTTCCAGCCAATGTGATAGGCGACAAAGACGCCCTCCATGGCGATGATGGAGCCAAAGAAGGTCGCGTGGGCGACGGGAGCCTTGCTCAGGGCCTGCTGGGCATGGTTGAGGTTGGCACCAAAGTAGCCCCACTGTCAGGATGGTCAGCATGGCATTCTAACCCCCAGCGGAGCTTGTCATGGTATGGTTGGACTCACAGCGGCGAGGAGCGCGGGGTAGGTGGCCACGACGAGGCCGAGGCCGATCAGACTCAGGAGAATGTTGGGGCTCGTGTCGTGCTTGCGGTAGTGGTGGGTCTGCTCGTTGAGCTTGCCGTAGCGGAGGGGTGCCTCGTAGGAGAGAGGACGCAGGTCGTCGGGGTTGCGGTCAATCTCGAGGTTGAAGAGCGGCGACTCGATGGCGGCGGAGGAACCGAAAGAGCCGATGACGATGTACGCCTCCAGGTGCTCGGGGGTGATGCTGTGCTGGATGGGGAGGTCCTTCTGGGCCTGCAAGTACTGTCAGTAAACGCGCGGCCGGACGAGATGAACACCTTTTTTCAACGCACAATCTCGACGGTACCCTTGCCATTCTCCTTGACACTGAGGGGGAAAGGGGCCTCAAGTCCGGTGGCGGTGTCACGGAGGATCAGGAAGGCCTGGTGCGGGCGCTTGGCCTTGCCATTCTCCTTGGTCGTCAAGGCGATCTTGATGGATTCCTTCGCACCGAGAGTGATGGGCGTCTTCAGGAGACCCTTGGGGCTCAGTCTGCACGGCCAGCAAGTTAGCGCGGCTCAATTGCACCACCGTCTTCTTCCTCCCCCTCAAGCTTCGAGCTCTCTCCTCTTCAGAGTAGGCACTTACGTCTCCTTAACAGCCTCGGGCTTGCGAAGAATGGAAACTGACGCGTCGTCAAATCCCCAGGAAGAAGCTGCCTGGGCGGCACCGGCGCATAGGAGCGCGAGCGCGGGGGTGAGCGAGTGAAGGAAGCGCATGGTTGCTGATTTCGATGTGGTTGACGCTCGCTGGAGAGCTGCTTCACTTCACGAGGGGGAGGCTACGTTGACACTGGACAGCTTTCGTTATCCGACTGGCCCCTGCAGCTGGTGCACGGGCCGGCAATTGATGGTTCGTCATCACAGTGCATGTCCATTCGAACACGGCTCTCGCACAGTTACTGACAAGTCATGAAGAAGTGATCTGAGGGCCAAGCAAGAGCAAGACCTTTGTGTTTGGCAGCTGGCTATGCATGCACAGCCGTGTCGGATGCGGTACAGAGCACGGAAAGCAGATCTTATATTGTCTTTGTGCATTGTATGAATACTCATCCCATATGTACAGCGCCCGTCGTGCGCATGACAGATGGGTTATTGACCCGTCTGTCATTGTCACAATTCCGTCTTGGCCGTCTCCGTCGTCTCACGCTTGAGCTGCTTCTCCGTCTTCTTCGGAAGATACTCTGCAATGTCCAGCCACTCGGCAGTGAACGCCGTGACGATTCTCGTCCAGTCACGCACTGTGGGGATATCTAGGTGCTCGCCGTCATCCTCCATCTTGTGCCACTGTGGCGGGAAGGGCGTAGGGATCATGTGCAGGATCTCGACACCGCGCGCCATGAACGGAACGTGGTCATCCTCGACAAAGCCACGACGAAACTGGCTGTGTTCTTTGTGCGACTCAGGCAGAAAGGGCTGGGAGTCTGTAGACTCGATGATCCCAAGCTTCCTCATGCGGCCCTCGATTTTGGCCATGTTCTGGTACGCCCAATGGGTTGTCGGAAAGTACGAAGGTATGCGAGGGTTCTTGGCGCCGAGCAGGTCGAGCAGCAGGAAGAGGCTGATCGAGTTGATCGGACTTTTGTACGTCGACATGGCGGGGTGGACTTGCGTCTCCCACGACTCGGCCAGCGCTCTGCATCTTGTCAGCCTCATGCCAGCGAGGTCAATCGGAGCCTGTGATGCGAGAAAGGGTGCCTTACCTCGAACCATAGAGGGAGTCTTCAGCGGTCCATCGCACCCATGCCTCTTCTCCGTCGAGGAGGAGGATCTGCACCCCGACCTCCTCCTCCAATCCCATGCCGGCATCTCCAGAATCCTGCATGGCCTTCCACTTCTTCGCGAGGGCCTCCTCGATGCCGAGGGCTGTCTGCATCAGCATGGCGCACGGCGCAGCGCTGTCGATGGCGCCGATAAACCCGTCAGGCTTGTACAGACTGTCGTAGTGGGCCACGAGCGTCAACCGGCCGACGTCGCCAACTTTGGCCCAGGGCGGATCGCGTACGAAGATGAGGTTGGTAAAGGGAATGTCCTTGTCGCCTGTTGCAGGCGTCTTCGCCGTCGAGTTGTGCCACTCGATGCGCCATTCGGGCAGCTTGGTTTTGAAGAAGCTGACAAAGTGCTCCTGCGCTTTGAAGGAACCAGGCGTGCCCGGGACGCGTGGGATCAGAATGGGCGCCAGGAGTGATCCCGACTTGATATCGAAGCCGTCGCCACCCGAAGGGATGCCGCGCAGGGCATCATCAGGCAGTTCGGTGTAAGCATGCGTGGGGCTCAACAGGGCGGCGAGGGCCAGGAGAATGCACCCTACCCGAACGGACAGTCGCCTCTCGGTGAAGAAGCCCATGATAGCGGAAGAGATGGTGTTTCCGGGATCATGCTGCGTATCGCCGGTAGCCAGCAGCTGCGCGAAAGGTTTGGGGTGAGGACAGCTGTGGTTCAAGGGAGGACCAGGTGGCAGCGATCAGGCATGGCATTGTTTCATTCAATTGGCCCTCAGCGGAGGTTTGGCGTCCGAGCAGCGGGCCAGTCACTGATGCCAAGTCTGATCGAGCCACAATACCCCTCCTCTTCTCCACACTGCTCACCTTGCTCACCTTGCTCACCTTGCTCACCTTGCTCACCTTGCTCACCTTGCTCGGAGGGAAGCTGTGACCACCGCGTAAATCCGGTGGCACCATGTAACTTCGACCTCCAACCTGATCATCGGTGATAGGTCTTTGGCTCCCAGCCCCATCGCAGCCCTTCAGGCAAGCAATGCTGTGCATCGTACGAGCGTCCTGCAGGCCAGCCTTGTCTATCGCCGAACAATGTGTCAGCGTCGCCAATGCTATGCAACGGCTCCCCTCCAACAACAATGTTGCTTACGACCACGGCACGATCTGGCTGGGTCTGGAGATAGCATCTGACGAGCATGAGTGATGTCTTGGTGACACTGATCCCGGGGTTTGTAGATAGCGCCGGTTGACTGCTCGTCATCCAGGCCAGCCTGCCAGCCTGCCTACCTACGTCAACTTGAGCCTCTGTCCTTAGACGCTGTGCGATGTGAAGGAGTCGACAAAGTATAAGAAGAAACAGAGCGACTGATGAGAGACAGGTCAAATAGAAGACATCTCGACTTACACATCTCCTACTTACCCATCAAGACATCCAACAAAGAACAGTCTCTTCTACCGCAGTGCTACGCACCTACACACCTAACACCACTCCCCAACTTCACATCACTATGGACACCCCCGTCTGGTTCATCACCGGCGCCAGCTCTGGCTTCGGCTTCGAGATCGCCAAGGTAGCCCTCGCCCGCTCCCACAAGGTCATCGCCACAGCCCGCAACACCACCAAGCTCGCCCGTCTGGCGGACCTCGGCGCGACCGTCATTCCCCTCGACGTGACGGCGCCCGAATCCACCATCCGCGCCGCCCTGGCCGAAGCCCACAGCCTCCACGGCCATCTCACGCACGTCATCAACTCAGCCGGCTACGTCCTCGACGGCGCCGTCGAGGAGTGCACCGCCGACGAGGTCGCCGCCATGTACGCCACCAACGTCCTCGGCACGCACAAGGTCACCCGCGCCGCGGCCCCCTACCTGCGCGCCCAGGGCGCCGGCGTCGTCGCCAACTTTGGCTCCCTCGGCTCCTGGGTCGGCAGCGCCGCCTGCGCCCACTATTGCGCCACCAAGTGGGCCGTCTCGGGCCTCTCGGAGGGCCTCGCGCAGGAGCTGGCTCCCTTTGGCGTCGACGTGTGCGTCGTCGAGCCGGGCTACTTCCGCACCGGGTTCCTGAACGCCGGCGCCCGCCTGCACGCCAAGGAGCGGCTCGGCGCCTACCGGGACGGGCCCGCCGCCGAGAAGATGGCCGACTTGGACCGCGCCAACGACAACCAGGCCGGCGACCCCGTCAAGGCCGCAGAGGTCATTGTCGACGTGCTGACGAGGTCGGGTGTGGCTGAGGGTCGGGCCATCCCGCTGCGCCTGGTGCTCGGGACGGACTGCCTGGCGACTGTGAGGCAAAAGTGCAAGGACACCGTTGCGCTGTTGGATGAATGGCAGGACGTTTCGGCTTCTACTGATTTCGTCGTTTGAAGACCTGCCAACAAAAGACCGAACACCAGATCGTTACCTAGTCCATAGTATCTTAATTCTGCGGCGTATCTCACTGTACCTGGCGGTGGCGTGCTGAATCATCAAGACTAAATCAAGCAAGCTGTGCGTAGCCAAACATGGACAGTCTGTCCTGCGTTGCGTGATGTTCATCGGCCAGCGGCCGAGGTAACATATCATTAATAATATAGTAGTCGTTACGCGGGGCGACCACATAAACATCAAAAGCATGCGAGCTCGAGATGATGAGCTTCCAGCCTGCGCCAGCCCTCGACCCGAGAAAGCGCCTGAACAAAACGACGTGTGAAAAATGCCATGCTGCGCTCGCGCCCATGTTGAAGATGGTTCCAAGCCAAGCCAAAGCCAAAGCCCCGCTCCTGCCAACGCCCAGAAAACCGCTGATGCCGTGAGAAAACATGTCCCCCCACCAACTCCCTCCTCCCCCTCCCAACTTGTTTTTTTCATCATGTCCCCTGCCTATCGATGCGCGTCTCGTGACGCCACCCAGGCCGCCCTGCCGTTGCAGCGCCCATATTCCTCCTCGGGCTTTGGCGGTGTTGAAACCCTTTGGTGTCGGACTGGAACTTTGCCGAGTCCGCTCCCTCTATCGTTCTGTGTATGTGTGCGAAGGCACTAGTCGTGGCGCTTGCCGTTCATGTCGTTGAGGGCAGCCTGCGCGGCAAAGGCCTGTTCGTTGGCGATTTGCTTTTCCCTGGGGATCGTGAGAGCGTTGATGCCGAGGAAGTTGCAGATGCTCGTGACCACGAGGTAGGCCCAGCGAGAGTACACGACGAGGGCGAAGAAGAAGTAGGCCCAGAGGTAGATCAGCTCAGCCTTGGCCGTGACGGCAGCGACGCCGAAGCGGGGCAAGTTTCCGATGAAGGCGCCGCCAACGAGGGGCCAGAGCATGACGGTCCAGAACGGGAAGGGCTGGCGCGTCAGATGTGCGAGAATCATCTTGGTGGTCATGCGTCCAAAGACAAAGGCCATGGTGAAGCAGAAGAGCACGAGGTGGTTCTCGCGCATGAGGGTCGAGTACGGGGAGTACACCCACGCGCCGATAGCAGCGGTGAAAACGAGCATGGGAGTCCATTCGAGGAAGACGGACGCGATCGGGAGGTTCTTCTGCTGACGCGCGCGAACGACGTTGTAGATGCAGAAAGGGATATGGGTGGCGAGCAGCGAGGTGATGATCATGCCAATCCAGATGTCCCGGATCGAGTAGTGGTGGATCAGCGGCATGAGGCCGAAGAAGTGCTTCTCGCCAAGTATGTCGATGATAGGCTGGGTCCAGATGCCAGGACCGCAGATGCCGGAGGTGGCCATGATGGCGCAGGCGATCAGGATGCCCTCCGTGGGGCCGTTGATGGTGCCGAGGTAGAGCGTGTGGGTGTGGTAGGTCTCCCAGGTCGAAAAGAACATGGGCAGGCACGGGCAGAGCGCAGTAAAGACGCCGGATTTGGAGGTGCCGAGGCCCATGGCGGCAGTCTCGAGAAGACTGGCGAGAGTGCAGTTGAGCGAGTCGATGCCGTGGTCGAAGAGCTCGCCGAGACCGCTCGAGGTGCCGGTCCGTCGAGCTTGCTTTCCGTCGAGATTGTCCATGGTCTGGTACATGAACAGGCCGAGTGCGAAACTAAAGTATAGCCATGACGGTCCCTGTGCATCGTTCCTGTCAGCTGCTGTCCCAAGAGCCCATTACGGCAAGGTCGCGACGTACGGGTCCCTCGAGATCGGGCATAACAATGACGAGTAGGAGAATGTTGGCCAGGATGAAGGCGAAGCCAATCAATGTCACCATGTTCGGAGCCAGCCATAGCGGCAGCAACTTGACGGAGGCTTCCCACTGCAAATAGTCTCGAGAATCAGCTCTTGTTCGAGAATTGTAGCTAGACAGGAATGGCAGGCAAGCCACTGCGTAGCCTCGGGTGAGGCTGTCTTGGAGCTCGATGCGGGGGAACGTACGTAGGGGCGTAGGACATATTTAGATATCGGCGACTTGTCGACTGCAGAGTACTTGTACGACTTGAGGTGGATGAGGGCATCGTCAGAGATGCACTCGGCGATGGCCTGCTCTGCAAGGACATGGGCGTTAGCGTACCTCTCAAGGGTGCAGCATTGGTGGTGGTGGTGGTGGTGGTGGTGATCGTCTCGTTGAACAAGTCCCAAGTCGAGTCGTGGGGCCGTCTCGACATTTTTTCGGCGCTTGAACTGTACTTTGCGCTGCCCCCAAACTTGGTGCAGCGCGAGGTACTTTCGCGCAGTGGGTGGGTGTGTGCTTACTCTTGTCACTAATGAGAGACCCCATCTTCAAAGGTGTTTGGGGTGAAAATTGGATTGGAGGGAATAATAGAAGGAAGAAGGAAGAGAAGGGATTTGGTCCTTGGTCCCAGAAAGACGCCGCGTGCTGCCAGTACGAGAAGAGAAGCAGGGATTCCTAACAGCAAGACATTGCAGGGAGAATCGAGGTAATAGGGGGTTGAGCAAAAGGTGGTCAAGCGATTGGGAGGTCTGGTGGATGAAAGTAATATTGCATGGTACAGATTGCCTACCTGCTGCCTGCTAAGGTACCTAAAAGCACCTAGCGAGCAGACGCCGACTGAACCCTGGACGTGAGCAGGGCGAGGTACATGGTACTGTACTGTAGAGCCCGCCAGAAAAATGGACTTGATTTCGACTGTGGGTACTATGTACCTTGCGTGCTGTAGCCTTTCTTGGGTCCCGCAGCCTTTTAGGTAGCCTGAGCCCGAACCTGGCAAGCCCGGGCAATAGCCATTCGCTTGTGACTGCTGGGGGGTGCATAACCCAATCACGCATGCACAAAATCTAGGCACCATCAAGGTCACGCTTCCACTGTGACATGACAACGTGGGGTCAAGAGACGCCGTATGAATGTAAAGTCAAAGTCTCTGCCGCAGATGCCATGTTGGTGCATTCGAATCGGGAGAACCGGCATGTAACTCTCAACCCGCAACGTCACGGTAGGATCGAATGTTCTGGCTTGTTCAGTCTCCTGCCCAGCGTCATTGTCGGCGAGGACTCTCGATGCCATCGCAGGAGCCGAAAGAAGCGAGAACCATAGTGAACCCGACACAGTGCATTACGCTGCTATCACCTACCTTCTTTGGCTTCCTACGCCATGCCCATCACCAGATTTTCATGTTGAAAGGTCCTGTCCTGAGCTGGTCCTCTTTGACGATTTGTCGAAGCGAGACTGGTCTGATGACCTGCGTCGAGAGCTTGAGATGACAGATAGCTTCACCATGGGATTTGATGATATTTCCATCTATTGAGTCGCTTTCAATCTCCAACCTGCCGTGGCGATGCCGAAGCGCAACTGCCTCCCAAGCTTGAGCAACGGTAGGCCTAAGGATCACTTCAGAAGTTCCTCTCAGCGTGACAGTAACCGATTGCCCATCTCGAGCTGTTCGGTAGCGGAACAGCATCGCCAAGCCTTTTTTGCCGTTCCAGATCTCTATGGTTCGGATCTTGGGCATATTCGAGGCGGCGGCAGCAGCATTCAAAAGCATGCCGTCAATGTCGGCACTACTTGCATCGGGGCCCAACAGGCTCGAAGTCAGCGTCAACGATGTCAGGTTCGGCCATATACAAGATTCTCGTCGAGCAAGGAAGAAATGCCGAGCATCGACTATGAATGAAGCAGACAGCACTTGAAGATCTTGACTGGTCTTTGCAAGCTTTCGTGCCAAAGCCGTGTTTCCCATCCGGGCTCTGATGGCTTCCAAGTGCCAGGACTTGGGAATCTCGTAGTCCTGATTGAAATTTTCAAACAGAATCATCGTCCGCAGGTTTTTATGGAGCGAACCGAATAGCGTCTCGTGATCTACGGGAAGGGTCAGAATTGTTAACGGGTAGACCACCAGGTAGCTTGAGACTGGTGGCTGCACACTCACCTTTATCTGTAAAACTCTGCATGAGCGGCTCATCTTTCCAAGGCTCGTACCACAGTTCGTTTAGGTTGGGAAACCGCGCGAACATTCGTGTGAGATCAGTTGGCTTCCATCGACGCCGCGTCTGCTGTCGAAGATATACGCCGGTGATGGCAGGAACTAGGGGCAGTCGTTGCCACCATTTCTTCTCCAGCTCCTCGTCTTCGCATGGCACCGGACACTCGATCTCGTCGAAAACTCTGTTTATTACCTGAGATTTCAGGGCTGTTTCTCGGCGACCGGCACGCCAGCCGTGGGCCGGGTCGTCATATAGGTCGGTCAAGGACTGCGTCGACACCTCACTATGTCGAAACGAAGGAGAAGACCGGCCGTAAGGAATGTCGGGTCCGAACTCGAGGTACTTGAACCAGTGGTCAGAGTCGCTTGGCGAATAAATGCTGATGTCAAGGACCAAGTCACCGTCAAGTTCCCACCGACTAAGAGTTGAGAAGAGATCCTCGAAAGACTGGGTGACGAACGCGCTGTCGATGTCGTTCATTCCCCAGATGGTATCATCTTCACCCATACACATGGTACAGTCATATCGCTGAAGCTCCAAACGAAACCATATGTAGCGGATGAGGCTCCTTTTTCGACTAAGAATAGATCCAGAACTGGATATTCGTGTTGGCGTCAGGTTGATCCTGGCAAGATTGTGCGGCTCGATGACCGAATGCCATTCTCGCGAGACGCTGGCCGCATTAGCCAGCTTGTTGCCGCTGCAGATGATGTCTTTGAGTATCTGGTTCCGTATCTCAGGGGGTAGCGTAGCCCAAGACCCTGCAGCCGAGCACATGATTACGCCAGCGTTCCACCACGCGGCACGGAATATGTAGGCTTGTCTAGCAGAACCGGCCAATGTGGCGAGGGAGCCGCTTTCTTGGCTTGATAAGCAAAGTGTCGTAGGTGTTTGGCTGCAGCAGCCGATATGGTAGGCTTGACAATAGGTATGGTCAGGGCCTCGGTGATGAAAGCTTCTGCGAAGCACTTCGGGGTGTATCTAGGTGTGTGGTGATAGGTGAGGAACTGTCAAGGTAGTCGGTAGTTGCCGGAGGAAAGAAAGGTCTGTTAACTGAAGAGACGCAGTCACGGTAGGTGCTGGAATTTTTCAACTCACAAAAACGAATGTCAGGGTGTCAATTATAGTTCTTCAAGCGACTGTTCGAGTGGTGGCGTGTTGAAATTGAGATACGGGAGGCACAGTTAAACATCCACCCACCCTGAAAGTTTGACACCGTGCTGGCTGAGTATGAGACGAGTTCGTTGGCATTCTCACGGTTTAGACCATAACAGTACACCATGGAGCTCCGAAATAGCCACCTCCTCTGTCAAGTAACCAAGAGGTCGGGTCTACAGCTGTTCAGCCATGCCAGAGGGGATAATGAATGTGTAACAGCAGATAGAGGCCGCTTCTATCCTGGTAGACCGGGTTCAGTGGCATTCGGGACATGTCTCGATCTTACACTTCACGTCGTAGACAACTTGAGCTGCGTAATGATATTCTTTATAAATATCCAGGTGATTGGTTGCATCGGGTGAAATCCTCCTTCGCCTGAGGGGACAGTACGAGCGAGAAGGCTGCAGCTCCCTCACCAGACTCAAGACACCACGGTGAACTATATCGTTCCTCTAATACCCAGTGGTAATCGAGTCCGAGGATGTAAACATGACAGCAATCGAGGGTTCACATAGTGGCATATGATATACGGGTTGCCATTCCGACACAACCATCTCGCGTGTGCGCACTCACGAGACCAAGAAACGACAAGAAGTGTAGACATTAAGTTGGGAAGGCCTGGGACGTCTAGCCATGCCTTCACCACGTACTGCGCGCTCCCTGTAAACGCCGACCCAAATCGAAATAACCATGCAATGCTCAACACACGCCACCATACCATGCTAGCCCCCCATCTCACCAATGTTCTGTCTGAGCGCCGCTTACAGCAGGACGGCGAACCCGCCAACGAGGCCACCAATGACGACCGTCAGGCCGAGACCCCGGCTAAGGGCAGAGGCGGCGCTGTCGTTGTTGTTGTTCGAGTTGCTGCTGCTGCTGTCATCGCTGTCGTCGTTGTCGTCGTTGCCGGCGAGGCCGGTGAAGATGGTGCTGCCCGAGGATGTCTGGCTCGCAGTAGCGGAGGCCGTGGGGGAGGCCGAGGACTCCGTAGCGTTGACGCGGCTGGGGTCGGTGGCACCGCATGGGTGGTCCTCACGGCACGAGCTGGCGCATGCGTTGTTGCCGTTGCCGCAGTCGGCGACGCACTGCTGGCCCCAAGCCGTGCAGACGTGGTAGGGCAGCGTTAGGGAGTACTCGGTCATGTTGGGCTTTTGTCCGTCACTGCAGATGCAGCCGTATTGCAGGGCGTCCTATGAACGTCGTTAGCAAGAGGGATGTTTGGGTGGGATTCCTAGTGCACTGACAGCATTGCAGTCGTTGACGAGAGGGTCGCCCTCGGACGTCTGGGAGCAGATCATGGGGCACGAGCTCCTCTGGTCACGGCACCACGAAACTGCACGATCCATTAGTCAAGCCACTCTGAACGTATGGACTCTATTGGGGTTTGCATACGTCGGATGGGCTTCTGAATGGAGTCAGGTTCGACCCAGTAGTCCTGAGCAGTCGCGGTAGCGACGAAAGCAGCGGCCACGGCCAGGAAGGTGCTCTTGAAGGACGGCATGGTGACAGATGTGTGCGAGCGAACGGTGATGGCAAGTATCTACTGAGTAGATCGTCAAGCAGTCCTTGTTTTATTGCTAATGGGGTTTCCCGGTCAGCCAACGTGAATCAAGACATTCCTCGAGGGCCGAAGAGCTGGGCTGCCACCAGAGCAAGACACACAACACGCCATGCGTGTGTCTCTTGCCAAGATGAATACACAAACTTACAACGAAAGCGAGAGTGCTGTTTGAGTTTTGAGTGCTGGTTCAAAGTGGCGAGATGATCGGAGGTGAACGAGAAGGGTCGGCTGGCTTAATGGGTGTTGACGGCTCCAAGAGGAGAATTATAAAGCGATAGACTGAAAAACGACGGTAGCGAGAGACAAACAGGTATGAAACCCGTTGAGAGCACGAAGGATAACGTAACGCAACAAGTGAGGAGCTGGCTGGCACGATGCGAGTGAAGTCAGGAAAGAGCTGGGCCAGGGCGAGAGGCCGCGGGAAGGGGGAGAGATGAGCTTTTCTACTGCCCCATGGTGGTCGAGCGGACGGGCCAGGGCCCCCCTCGTCACTGCGAACTGGCGATATCGTCAAATAGCGGGTGACATTGGGTGTAGCAGTTGTCGTAGCCAGCCACTCGGCGTTTTTTCGACAGGGGTCGCCCGCTATTCTCATGCCGGGCCCCAATCACTTGGACACACAAACTTCGGTAGGGGGCCACCAAGGGCCCGAGGCGACAGGGGATGTCTGGGGATCTGGCTGCTGGGCAAATAAGCTAGGCCTGTGCTAAGATTGAGATCTGGTGGGCCGAGCGACTGCGTGTCTGACCTGACGCCTATTCTCCTCCCCACTATGGTCTCCTCTCCACTATGGTCTCCTCTCCACTACTCGTCCGCTGTCCCTGTCTTTTGTTGTTGCTGCGTCGGTCGTGCCATCGGGACTCGCAGCAATGTCTCCGGTGCTCGACTGGCGGTGGGCGGACCGTTTGCTGTGATGGCGCGAGGGAGGGGCGAGTCGCTGTCTTGGCTTCAAGACACGGGCCAGATTTTGCGTCGCATTCTTTTTTACCGCATGAACACGAGCATGCATGACCCTCTGACATCTGATGGTGGGAGGCGAGAGGAAGAACTCACTCAGCCGCCCCCCCAAAAAAAGCCAGGCGGAGCCAGGCATCACGACGCTGGCCAGGCCAGGCCAAGCCCAGCCAAGCCCAGCCAGCCCCGGACTTCCCATGCCTCGCGATCTGTACGAGCCTGCCCCGTTCCAATCGTTTGCCTGTGTAGCCCCTTCGACGATCTCGCCACGATAGAAAGATTGCCGTCAAACCCCTCCTCCTCGACGTTTCGGAGCACACAAGCCCTCGAATGGGGTGGTGGACTGTTCGTATCCGCGGCCTCACGAGGTTGGGTGCAGAAAGGTCGACGCGGCTAGCGATGCAACCTAAGGCGATTCGGGGAGATCGGAAGACCGTCGACAACGGGCTTCCTCGTTGGTCATTGGAGGAAGCAAAGACCACAGCACAGGCAGTCTGAGGCAGACCCTCGGACGACTGACCATGTCCTCCGGGGCGCCGCAGCCTGCTCGCCAGCCATTGTGGCTCGTTGAGCAGACCGCCAGGATAATACCTACATGCCTTACGAATACCCAAGACGCCCCTTCCAACTCAATGACGAGGTCAAGACCCAGCCATCCATGGCAGCTTCTCGGTGGGAAGGGAGAAAAGGCGGATCCATCCTCATCCATCCACGAGACACTATCTTACCGGGCCGCAGGTAAACAACAAAAAGTCTGGGGGCACACTTGACAGGGGGCTGATCACTCACTGCTTTTTTTTTCTCGTGCATATGCACCATGCGTTTCGCCGTTTCAACGTTCAAGATTGGTTCGGGCTAGCACCTCAAGCTTCCCCTCCATGCTTCCCCCCACGACAAGGGCCATTTACCGAGTGTGGAAGAGTTCCAAGCTTTCACAGGGGCTGTGCGAGCTTGACGTTGAGTGAACTGGTGGTTTTTAGCGGCATTCGTTCGTTCCGATGGCTAGTGCGCCGTAAGCCTGTGTTTCTGTCAGCGAACTTTCCTCATCGTGGCCCACTGCGGGCGAGCTGTAGCGACGCCTCTTGTCGACAGCCTAGTTCATCTGAGTGCGGACAAAGACCTGAGCCTTGAAGCCATCCGACCGTGTATATGCCGATGAGCTGTTGCCTACAGAGCTGGCTAGGTAGCTGGACTCTTGCCTCAGGTCGAGGTTCAATGTTGCAAATCGCCATTCTTCGTGGATAGACGAGAACTCTACAGCAGGCATCCATGCCATGGATGATTGCCAGGACTGGGCAAAGACTGCTGCCAAGGCGCCAGAAAGACCATGTCGTTTGCACATGAACTTTCACTGAAGTGTCTCGATACACAATGGTCGCCGTCATCGGGTCCACCTGACATGTCCTGCCTGCTGGACATGGACTGGCATGCTTCTTGGGTGATGTAGCAGCAGAATGCTTCTTGGGTGGTGTAGCAGCAGAATGCTTCTTGGGGTGGTGTAACAGCAGAGGGCTGCCCCGCGATGCTCACAGCAGTGTGCCCCACCATTTCTTCTGACGGGACGCAATGGAGAGGCAGCTAGCGCTCAGGATTGGTTGCAGAACATTTGCGATCACATCACCCAGCCACGCTGCTGTGACGACTGGGATCAGAACCGGGACCAGGCCTAACCCTTCCAGAAGCACTCGTCAGAAAGCTTCACTTCCATGCGATCCGGGTAGCAAGGCCATCACCCATCCTGCTCAATTGACCAGTCCCACATCACCGATTGCAACCATCAGATCCGCACGACTACGACTGCGCCTGAACACCCCAACAATATTATTACAGCTGCCGCACGACGCACCGAGAGGCGCAGATTGAGAAAGAGGCTCTCCCGGTTGCTCGGCTTCCGCCCAGACGAACCTTTGACATTGCATCCGAGAGCCACGGCGCACGCTTCAGACTTCTTCCAACGCTCATTACACTGCCATTCTGCATGGTTTCATGGACCCCGCCACCGACCTGGAGGCCCGCAGCACTGGCAATGGCACTGGCCATGGTGATGGTGTAGGCGGAGCCAGCAATGGCTCAGGCATCAAGCTCACGACTGCTACGAATGCCACGAATGCCGTCGGGACAGCTGCCAATGGCCCGCCGAGCTCTGACGACGACGCCGCGCACGACGACTCGGACACGTGGGCATCTGCCGTTACCAGTCCGGCCTCGATAACTTCGCCCCCATATTGGACGAACAGCCACTCCCACCAAAGGTCCATATCCAACATGTCGGCCGAGTCGGTCCTGCCAGCAGGCGCCATCACCATGCAGGATCACGAGGTCAGCGACCCCGACCATCACAACAAGGCTTGTTGGGCGAAGAGCGTCGAGATTGTTGATCACGTCGTCATCAACGGCAGCGCGACCAACATCGGTGCCTTTGTGGTTTGGAATATCAAGGTCGAGACGCTGCGGGTCAGTTGTCCCTCCCCTTTCTGTAGCAGACGGATGGCGTGTGATGGTGTGCTGACTGGAAATCGCCCACTTCTCCAGGGAAGTTATATGAATATCCGCAAGCGCTACTCCGAATTCGACGATCTGAGGGAGAAGCTGATGATGACATTTCCACACTTTGAGGCTGCCGTCCCGCCTCTCCCGCCGAAAAGTGTGATATCAAAGTTCAGACCCAAGTTCCTCGACAAGCGGCGGCAGGGCCTCCAATACTTCCTCAAGTATGTTCAGCCCAGCCCCCTCTCTGACGCTCGCAGCCAGCAGTACACGTCGTGAAAACGATGGCTAACTGCCGTAGCTGTATTATGCTCAATCCCGAGTTTTCTGGGTCTCCGGTGCTCAAGGATTTTCTCTTCTCGTGACACAACATATTGGAATAGCGTACATATAACCTCAAGTTTCATCCGACACAGGTTGTCGGAGCGGATTGAACATAGGAAGCACTGCTATCACAATACGATAATGATAATGTTTTGGATGGCCAGCTTGGCGCGCCTAGCTTGAACAGATTCCCCAGATATGACGACTTGTCTGACGACAAGAGTTACTGCCACTTGTGACGTGGAGAACCGTAGTAAACAGCAACGCAAGTGGGATACAGCAAGGACGGGCAGGGAACCCCGATGTTCCCCTTCTCGGACCGGCCCGGGGCTTCCTCGACCCCGAGATGACTTGTCTTGAGTGGCTTGTTGCGACCGGGCGGAAGACAAGTTTGGTGGGAACAAGATGGCCATCGCTGGCCTGTCATGTTGCCGTGGGGTCGCGCCGAGTAAAACTCATCGGGCGTCCCTGCAGGTTGACGCGTAATGCCAGGCGTTTTCGGAGGGGGGGTCTCGACGAGTGCGAGCTTCACTCAGCCCACCTTGGCCACCTCATCTGGGTGGCAGGGCTCGGTGCATCCTTTGCTCGTGCGCTTACACGGTACTTCACACTGCCGCAAAGAAAGCAGGTCGAGCGCCAGACACGATATAACAGAAAGGGGTTGTTCACCTTGACCGAACGGATCCGGCCTTCTGCTTCACCTTGTTGTTGGTCCAAGGTGTTACGCTTTGGCGCTTGTTGGAGATGGTGTCAGTGCCAGGCGCATTTCGTACTTCAGCTTTGCCCAGCCCTAGGAAGACGCGGCATCATCCTTGTCCCCTCTCGTAAGTGACTCGGATCCGTGTCCAAGACGATTGAAAGTCTTGTCAAAGTCTTGTCCGACCCGTTGTTGCTTATTTGGCCCGCGACCCGCCCCTTAGCACTACTTGTTATATCCTCGTCTTCCTCGAGAGATTTGGGCCGTCTGACCATGGGGGCTCTTCATTCATCACTGCACTTGTATGCTTTCTCTTTCTGTCCGAAGACGCCGGCAGTTGGATGCCGACAGCCAATGCCACCTGGCAAATACCGCCTGGCACGCGACGCAGACCCCTGCCAGAATAGTCCACGATTGATCTAGCCATGACGTATCCCTCCACCACACTATCGTCGCCCATCGTGGTAGGCCCAACCAAGACCCTGATCAAGAAAGCTGCCCCTCCAACACGCAGTGCGCCGACCTTAACCTGTCTGCCATGCAACCCAACGCCCCCCGCCAGCCCTCCATGCGTCCCAGTCAAGACTACACCGTTGACGGCGGCGACGACGAAACCCGACACAACAAGTGGCATCACCACAAATCGACCGCCGGCTGTCTCTTACAGTTCGCGCAAGGCCTACCTGGACTCCCTGATCCCGCCATCCCCCGAAGAGTTCAACAAAATCTCCCAAGTGCAGCACGGGCGTGAGGTAGAGACGAGGAAGAAGGCCCGCAAAGTACGACGTGAATCCATCTTGCCGCTCCCACCACCAGACACCATGTCCCGCCCCACGAGCGAGCAGTCGAGCCTGCGCAGCCAGCCCAGGCGGAAGAGCATCGAGGCCTTCCGTTCCAGGAGAGCTGCCAAGGTCATCCAGCGCAGCTATCGCGGGTACCGCTCGCGGCGAGAGAGCAAGGGCCTCGAACTCGCGGCCTCGACGCGGTGGGTGGCTGCGATCCAGGAGGCGCAGTTTCGCGAGACGACCAAACCGCGCGCGCGCGAAGCCATGGCGCCGGAGACGGGCGAGGCGCCCACCATGCTGTCGAGGGAAGAAGACGGCAAGGTGCACCGGGGTGCCACGGCGCGGGAGAACTGGAAAAAGGCCGCCATGATTGCTCGCCGCGCAGGCCACGATGACGCTGACTGCGACGCGGAATCCCTGACGCACATGTCCTTGTCGTCGTCCAGTGATGCCAATGAAGAGATGGCCGAGAAGCGCAAATGTCGCGAGGAGGCCACGGCGAAGAGGAAGCAAGACTCTCAGATGATGGGGCTGCAGTACTTCCTGGAGATGGTCGACCTCAAGCACCGATACGGCAGCAACCTACGAACGTATCACGAAGAGTGGAAAAAGCACGACACAAACGAGAACTTCTTCTACTGGCTCGACTACGGCGAGGGACGAAATATCGACATGGCTGCCTGCCCGAGGGACCGTTTGGAGCGCGAGCAGGTGCGGTACCTGTCGCGAGAAGAGCGGCAGCACTATCTTGTCAGCATTGACGAGGAAGGCGCGCTTTGCTGGGCCAAGAACGGCGAGCGTATCAACACGACCGAGGACTACCGAGACAGCATTTGCGGCATCGTGCCCCGCGACGACCCCACCCCAGCGTGGTCGACAGCGCGCGACATGCCGCCGACGCCGGAGCCTGAAGCGGACGCGAACGACAGCCGATCCGAGTCGTCGATCGAGTCGGCCCTCGAGGCGGACCGCGCGGCCAAGTACGCGACGCCCGAAGTCGACGACGAGAAGCCGCATCGCAAGGTGATGCACGTGTCGGCGAGCACCATCTTCAACAAGATGCTCCGCAAGTCTGTCCGCAAGAACACGTGGATCTTCGTCGCCGACACCAACTTTCGGCTGTACGTGGGCATCAAGAGCTCGGGGGCGTTCCAGCACTCGTCGTTCCTCCAGGGCAGCCGCATCTCGTCGGCGGGGCTCATCAAGGTCAAGGACGGCAAGATCAAGTCGCTGTCGCCGCTCAGCGGGCACTACCGGCCGCCGACGTCCAACTTTCGCGCTTTCATCCGCAGCCTGCGGGAGTCGCGCGTCGACGTGTCGCACGTGTCCATCTCCAAGTCGTACGCCGTCCTCGTCGGGCTCGAGACGTACGTGCGCACCCGCAAGAAGGGCAAGCACGTCCTGCAGAAGATGAGCCTGAAGAAGGACAAGCTCGTCGCGCCCGAGGCGGTGGCGCGCCGCGAGGAGGAGGAGCGGGACAAGAGCGAGAGCGCCGCGCGCGAGAGGGAGATTCTCGAGGCGGAGGCGGCGCGGGAGCAGCGGGAGAGGGAGGAGAAGTCAGCCGCGGTGAAGCTCATGCGCAAGCTGCATATTGCGCCGACAGAGGATGGCGACGAGAATGACGCTTCGACGGGAAACAACGCGCAGCAGAGTGCTGGGAATCAGGTGGACGAGGGGGATGTTTCGACACGGGGTGGCGCGGCGGCTAGGACCCCGGCGGCCGCTTGAGATTGCGAATGGCATGGTTATGAAGCATGATACCGGCATGGGCATCATGTCGGCTTGAGCATGAGTATGGGATGGGCGATTGGCTTTGTTATACCCTCGCATATTGCCCGCTGGACGGCATAGCATTAGTCTACATCGAGCACTCGGTTTTATGTTACTTGATGAGGCAGGTCTATGTATGATGCATGGGTGATAGGGATCAAAGAAGAATTAGGCATGAGCAGACGTTCGACTTGATTCTGCCCAGGGGCAGAACCAATGTGTGGTTGCTTGATATCATGGCAAATAATGGGTGGTGTGGATAAGGCTGATGCTCACAGGTTCACCGACCTGGACCCAGGCAAGCCAGGTAAGGCAAGCCAGGTAAGGCAAGCCAGGTAAGGCAAGCCAGGTAAGGCAAGTACTGTAATAGGACAGCCGGACCACACCCATCAGTTCCCGGCCGTCCTGGTTTCACTGCATCTGGTAGGAGAATCAAGCTTCATTTATGCCCCATGGCAACGGCGTGTCGATGCAGACGTCAATTCGTCCGATGCACGTCATGACATGGCCCAGCAGCAGATGAACGTGTCTGGCGTGCGTGATGGATTCCACAGGCACTGGAAGCAACCTGGAAAGCACAGGACCCCCTGCCAGCGGCCCCTAAGGCACCTAAAGGTAAGGAACCTAGGTCCCAGCTCGAGGCGCCAGGCGGCGGAGTAGAGTTCCCCCCGAAGGCGTTCGCGCAGAGGGGACCAAGCCAGACCAAACCACCCCAAACCGACCCAGATTCCAATTGAATCCCTTCCAAACGAAACGAACGAGCGACCGAAAAAAACAACACGCTCCATCCACCCTCGAGAAGCGATCTCGGTTCAATTGCCCACAGCCCATCGCCACGCAAACGGCAACGGCAACGCGGACGCGCCGGAGACACGTCCCTCCCCCGAACCATGAATGGCCGTCCAAACAGCGTCCATGGCATCGATTACGCGCTCCAGCAGAAGGGCGCCCTCCACTGCTGCCGCCGCTGGTGCTGCCGCTGGTGCTGCCGCTGGCGCTGCTGCTCCTGATGCCCACGCCAACGCGCCCTTCCACACAGCTCGCAACAGCACCCAGAACATTCTCTCTCACGCCGCCAACGGTCGCACGAAGCGTCACCTGAGCATCTCCGACCGCAACTACGACCGCAACTACGACCTCGAGCCCGTGAACCCCGCGAAGCGACCGCGAACCGAGTTTGAGATCGTGCTCAAGTCATCGCGCGCCACGCCCCCGAAGCACGCTGCTGCGAAACCTGCCCCGCCCGACGCGGTGCCGCCGACACTCAAGCCAAAGCAACTACAAACCCAGTCACAATCACAATCACAGCCTCAGCAACAGCAACAGCAACAGCAACAACCACTGCATCACCAACGACCGCAGCAACCACCCAAAAAGCAACAGAAGCTGCCGTTTCTACCCGTGAGACGCGAAACCGCCGTCGTGAGCCAGCCACCGCCTGCCGTCCCCCCACCCGCCCAAGACGATGCCGCCGCCCAGTTGACCAAGCACCGCGCCAAGGTGGTCAACGGCATCCGGCACGAGCTCGACCGCCTGCAACCCGACACCCAGTCCGACATTCAACCCCATGCCGAACCCAAGGAACAGCAGCAGCAGCAGCAGCGCGGCGGGCGCAAGCTGCGCTCGCAGGAGGCGACACGCTTCAAGAGCGACCTGTCGGCCTACTTTCCCGACTATGACGAGGTCATCGGCAACGACCCCAAGGAGGAGCACCTGCTGAACGTCGAGACGCCCATTGTCGTCGTCGACACGTTCCCGCGCTACTTTCGCGGCAAGGTCGTGGCGCCGCTGTTCACGCCGACACAGGCCGAACCGGTGCCCGCCGGCTACGACCACGGCGACTACCCCGTCCGCGGCTACGGTGACGCGCTGTTTGACGACCCCTTTGACTCGCAGCGCATCAACTTTGACTTTCTCGGCAAGAGCTACAAGGGCAAGACGCTCGACAGCGCCCTGCCTGACGCCTTGTACCTGCCGATACACAAGAGGGCCGAGAGGCTCGAGAGGTCGATCCGGAACACGGAGAAGGGCAGGGCGCAGCACGAGAAGGACCAGATCGTCAGGCTGCTCGAGGGCCTGCAGGGCCACGACTGGCTGCGGATCATGGGTGTCAGCGGCGTGACGGAGAGCAAGAAGAAGTCGTTTGAGCCTGCGAGGCGGCACTTTATCAAGGGCTGCCAGGCCATTATTGACAAATTTCGTCAGTGGGCGCAGGAGGAGAAGAGGCGCAAGGCGGAAAAGGAACGCGCTCTGGCGGAAGAGGCCGACGAAGAAGAGGACGAGGAAGAAGATGAGGAGGAGGAGGCCGGTGAGGATGAAGAGGCCGTGGAAGATGAGGACGAGGAAAAACAGGAAATCGGCGACAGCGAACAAGACGACGATGACGTTCATGCTAGTGACGGCGACCCACCCGACGAGCTGGACTTTGACGCCTCGATCGCGAGACAGCTTCGCGAAGAAGCGGCGGCCAGAGCCAATATGACGAAGTCCAGTCGAAAGCGACCACGTGGCGCGTCGATCCAGCCAGAAACGCCCCTGCCACCACCGCGGGAGTTCAGATCATTCTTCAAGAAGAAGCACGAGCGTGACGCGGCGCTTAACAAGCATCGTCGGGCGGGGCGTAGGGTCCTGGCCTGGGGTGAGCCGGTGCCTGAGCCCGAGGCGCGGGAGTTCGAGCTGCCCGAGGAGTATCTCGACCCCGAGACCATGAAGGCTCACGCCCGGAAGAGGCGACGGCAGCGCCGTGGTAGCAGACATTGACGGGCTTGTGGGAGTGGGTATGTGCGATATGTGATATCATTCGAAACCCTGTGCTTGGGATTACTCGAACAGTGTAGTATGCATTTTCTATGATACCAGTCGGAGCTGGAAGGCAAAGGGTATTTCGTTTTTGGGATGGAGGGCACGGGATGCGGCTTTCTCCTGGCACTTCATGTTAGGAACATGTTATCAGTAAGGCGTTTGACCCTTTCGTCGGAGCGTCACGGTGCTTCGTCATGGTAGTGACGAAGAAATTGATTTTTTTCTCATACAGTGCCACATTGGCAAGTTCTGCTTGCGCCGACCAGGATACTTTGATGGTTGTACGTGTAATTCTTAATTCTCTGGCCAGCAGAACACAGTACGAGTCACACCCCTCCCGGACATCGTGACATTCTGTGGTTCTAGAGACATGTATTGCTACTATCATCTAGGCAGCGCTGTAATTCCCTGGGATCTCGGCGTCGTTTTGCTGACATTGCAGAGGCGTCTACTGGTGAGACGTGGAAAGCGAGATGCACAATGCGTTTGATATGGCGTTACTCTGAACTCATTTCAGACCTTCAATGAGTGTTTGATCCGCTGATGATGCTAGGCTCGGAAACCCATCTTCGATGCTTCCAACAGCACCTAGCCGGTCGCGAAGACGTGGTAGCACCTTCTTGAAGCGTGGAACAGTTGAACCGAAACCAGGAGGCATATGTGTCTCGTGCTTGCCGTCTTTCGGTTATACGTGATCACCACGTCTTTCCCTCTTAAAGCTTCACCATCTCATGGAAGCCTCTTGATGAACACCCAGGTACCTACAAGGGAAGACGGAGGGGCTCGAGACCCTGGCCTGAAGTAGCTCTACAGATTATTAATATGGGAAAGTACAAAGTCCTCGAGTCGGGACCCACTGGCAGCTTACCCTTGGCACGGTCCAGTCGCGGATACCTGAGGTAATCAGTTGCAGACGCGCCGTTCTGAGCTGCCGCATCTCGACAGCACTCAAGGTTCCATCAGCCAGGCTTCGCGTCTCGTCCTACCTGCCTGGTCGACTCCGCTCAACATCATTCCCCAGCATCTCTCCACCGTGGGGTCGATTGAGGCAACGCCGCCGTTTTTCTTCCTTCGCAACGCCTCTTAACCTTCTTTTTCCTGTTCTGCCATCTAGGTCCCCCTCCGACGCCCCCCCTGCCCGACCTAGACTTCTGCGAAAGAAAGGTCCAACTTTGCCAGGATGACCGAACGTTCCCGCCAGCGACACTCCTAGACCCAGTTACTGCCACGGCGCATCGATTGCTAGTCGCCATGTCTGCGCCATCATCCCATACCGAAGCCGAGCCGGCGGAGCTGGACATATTCGAGAGCCTGCCTCCTCCCAAAGATGAGCCTATGCGCCCATACTTTGTCATCAGGCAAGACGTCGAACTTGAGATCAACTTTCGGGAAAAGCGCATCGTCGGCAAGTGCGAGATCACAATCGCTAGCGTCCGGGGCCACAGCATGGAAGAGATTGCCATCGACGCGCGACAAACGGAGATTGACGTCGACAATATCGAGATTGAGCTGCTGAAAGACACGCAACCCGTCGGCGCACCGAGGAAGATCGCGGCCACGTATGAGGATCCCTACAAGCTACTGGACTATCCGAGTCACTACAACTGGAATGCGACGCATCACGACCTTAGAAGGCTCCGCATGCGACCCCTCACCCACTCGCGACGGAAGGACGCAGCCGCTGAAGATAGGGAAACAGTTGGCTCAACGCCCGTCGATGGGTCAATTCGCATCAACCTGAAAGACCTGGAAAGAACGAAGGACTTGAAAGAGGAAGGCAACCAGAAGCGGCCGATCAAAATCCGGGTTTCATCGGCAAACCCAGGCTCGTCCACCACCGAATCTCCATTTGACCCGAATCCTTTGGTTTCACAAGAATACCGTGTGACCATACCATTCACCACCAAGAACATTCGAGACGGAATCCAGTTTGTTGGAGTCGACCCAGGCGATTTCAAGTGGCCTCATGTCTACACGCGGCACTCTGTCGAACCGGGAACCGCGTCCTGCATTTTCCCATGCATTGATGACCATGGCCAGAGCTGTGCCTGGTCCCTTGCCATCAAGCTGCCAAAGACGCTGGGCGATGCTCTGCGTCAACCTCTTGCGACCCAGAACGGTGTGAACGGTCACTCCCGCAGCGCCGGCCAGAAGTCACAGCCGCACAATGATGATTATGCGCTCTCTGAAGAGGACAAGCTTCTGGAAATGACGGCCATCTGCTCAGGTTTCATCGCCGAGGAGTTGATCGACCCAACGGATGACTCCAAGAAGATCATGCTGTTTGAGCTTGACAAGAAGGCATCTGCCCAGAAACTAGGCTTTGCCGTCGGGCCCTTCCAGCTTGTTGACGTCTCTGCAGCCTTCCGCCCCGAGGCGGATGATGAGAAACTCGGGGCAAACGCGCTGAAAATACAGGCCTTCTGTTTGCCTGGGCGTGCTGAGGAAACATTGAACACGTGTCAGGCTCTTCCGTCAGCGGCCGACTTTTTCACCCTCACTTTTGCGCGTTACCCTTTCGAGGAGTATCGACTCTGCTTTGTCGATGACATGGTGAACGACACAATTGCCGTCCACTCGTTGTCACTTGTGAGCACGCGTCTTCTCTACCCAGAGAACGTTGTTGACCCGGATGCGGAGGTTGACATCTCGAGGAAACTTGTGCAGAGCTTGGCCGTCCAATGGAGTGGCATCAATCTTCTTCCTAGCCGGCGTAACGACCTATGGGTCGTTATTGGCATAGCTTACTACATGGCCGACTTGTACCTCAAGAAACTGTGCGGTAACAACGACTACAGATTCCGCATGAAGTCCATGGTTGACGAGCTGGTCGAGGTTGATACGGGCCGGGCATCACTCTACGACCTCGGCCGCAGCTTGCATGTTGGCGACTTTGAGATGGACTTCATGACTTTGAAGGCGCCCCTTATCATGTTCATTCTTGACAAGAGGCTTGCAAAAGCACCCGCGCAAACAAATCTCACCCGGATCATTTCGAGGATTCTTTACAAAGCGAACATTGGAGAACGTCAGGGCGACTGGCTGATTAACACGGAGTCCTTCCGGAGGTTTTGCGAAAAGAACTCTAAGAGCAAACTTGAATCATTTTGGAAGCAGTGGATCTACGGCACAGGCTGTCCACGATTCGATGTCCAGCAAAAATTCAACAAGAAAAAGCTCTGCGTCGAGATGATGGTTCGCCAAGTTCAAGTTAAGGAGAGGGACTCGAACCGGGCTCTTGACAAGAACGATTTTCTGCGGCTGGTGAAAGAAAAGTTATACGATGTCGCTATCGGCGAGATCCAGCCCTGGTTCACGGGACCTATGACCATCCGCATTCACGAGGCAGACGGTACACCTTACGAGCACATAGTGGAGGTGCGCGAAGACGCCGCGGCCATGAAGATGTGCAAGTTCGACATCCCCTACAACACAAAGTACAAGCGCCTGAAGCGTAGTCGACGTCAGCGCGATAGGGCGGCTGCGCAGACCACGGCCGACGGCGAAGTCAACGAAGACTCCCTCCTGTACTGCTTGGGCGATGTTCTACAGAGCCAAGACGACATCCAGGAATGGGACCTGCTCGACTGGCCTGCTGACATGGAGAAGAAGATGGACCAGGAATCTTACGAATGGATTCGAATGGACGCCGACTTTGAGTGGATTTGCACGATGAAGACCAACTCCGAGTCATACATGTATGTCTCGCAACTCCAGCAAGATAGGGATGTGGTTGCGCAGCAGGATACAATGCTCTACTTGGGCAGGTCTCCGCCTCATCCACTCGTCTCTTCTATTCTCACGCGTACCTTATTCGACAAGCGCTACTTTCATGGTATCCGCACAATGGCAGCCAGCCAGCTCCACAGACATAGCGTTCCAGGCCCGAAAGATTCCATGGTCGGTCTCTTTCACTTGCTACGAGCATTCACACAACTTTGTTGTTTCCCAGGCACACAGATGCCCCGTCCCAACGACTTTTCGGATCGGAAGCAGTATCTTGCCCAGAGCGCAATCCCACTGGCCATCGCAAGGGTGCGGGATTCCAATGGCAAGTGCCCTGAGCGGGCACGGCACTTCCTCTTGGAGCAGGTCCAGTTCAACAACAACGCCAACAACCCGTTTTCCGACAATTTTTATGTGGCAAAGCTCCTAGAGGCGCTTGCCACTAGCATGATCCCTGATAAGCGACCGGACACGGAGGTGATGCTCGACGATATCATACGGACGGATGAGGAGGACCAATTCCTCCAAAACGCTCTCACTGAAATTGACCGATACCGCAGGATGGACGAGTGGGCAAACTCTTACCACAATATTTGGACCATCACAGCGCTTGACTGCAAAAGACGACTCATGAAAGCCGGGGTCATTCCCAAGGATGGCCTTGACTTTATGCAGTACCTGCAGGACGAGACATACGATCTCGTTCGTATCAAGGCTTTTGAGGCTCTGGTCGATCTTGGCTTCATGATGGATGATGTTGTCTTCCCTCATCTGCTTCGAACGCTGAGCACAGACAAGTCGCCATTTGTGCGCCACAAGCTGCTCAAGGTCTTCAGCATTGGCCTTGCCGGCTTGGCATTTGGTGAATTCTCCAAGCCCAATAGTGCGATTAAACCACAGACAGGAGATATGTTCTTGGACGGCTTTGCGGATGAACCGAAGGAAGATATGCTCGTCGTTGAAGCCGGTGATAAGGAAACCACGGAACGTCGGCAGGAATATCTGCGCAAGCATGATCTCCACACGGCACTCACGGCGCTCAAGGCAGAGATGAAAGACCAATTCGCCCATCATGAGATCACGATCCAGAAGACTCTCTGGTATGCTATCAACCAGGACACTCTCGGTCGAGCAGAGAAGGCTACACTTTTAGAGTTCTGTGGGCTCATGTTCGATGCATCCGACGAGTGGATCGTCTCTCTGCCGCTTCCTCAGCGGTGGAAGGTCTCTCGTCCAGCGCACCGTGTTCCGGGCAAGGTACGAATTCGCCTTTTCATTTTTTTCTACGCAGACTTTACTGATCTGATTCCTCTCTAGCTCATCGTTACGTTTACGCCATACTACCGCGACTCCCTTCCCCGGCCTAAAGAATTACCGAAGGCACCGGAGCCTGCTCCTGTTCCTCTTGTCGAGCCGCTTCCCAAACCTGTCGAGCCCAAGCGCGTCATTGTCAACCCGAAAGTCAAGGCCAACAAGGTACCACCGCCAGCTGTTCCGGGTTCTGAACCACGCCAACCATTGCCAACAAAGGCGGCGGCTCCTCTTCGTGACTCTCCCGTCGCAACCCCTATTCGTGTGTCACCTGCCCTCAAGGAATCGTCCCCTCGACCGCTGTCTGTTCCTGAACGCCAGGGCAGCGCACAGCCCAGGACAGAGTTGCCCTCATCGGCCAAGGTCCCGAAACGTCCACGACCAGACAAGATGAATGGCGGCGATGACCAGTCACCAATTGCTAAGCGTCCAAAGATCGGCAAGGAGGGCCACAGCGGCACTGCTCGCCCTCGAAAGATCGTCACGATAAGACACCCAGCACTGCGGCGGATCCTGAAGGAGCTCAACGTCAGGTCATCCTCTGGTGTGCCGCGCAAGCCCAGCTCATTGCAGACCGTGCGTGCCTCGCCTGCCGCCGATGGCACCATTCAGGCCAAACCTGCGCGAAAGCCTCTTCCCAGCGGCGGTGACAGCGTACGCAAGCCCCTTCCGTCGGGTCTGCCAACCGGCACACCGTCGTCAAAGCCAACTGCCTCATCGATAGCCCACTCTTCATCCACATCTGTGTCAACGCCTACGCCCGCGCACGCCAGCCCGCCACCTCCTAGCAGTTCTGGAAGCCAGCCTGCGGCCGCGCCGAAGAGACTCAAACTCGTCATTAAAAAGCCGACTCCGAAACCTCCGCCGGCACCATAGGAGGAGCTGTCGACAGATTTTTGACTCATCATTTTTCTTCCCCGCCCCATGAAGCTTCTTCATTGGTTGCTCGTATAATAGCTTGCTTTCGATCCGTCTTTCTCTTCCTTTTTTGCGACTACTCACTTTTCTGCGCAAACTTCTCTTGCTGCTTTTTCTTCTTCTTCATGAATTTGTGTCCGTCGTGGCATCGCAAGGCGTTGGGGGGTTTGGGGCCGGTTGGTTTGGCCGGGCCTGGCAGGGGCTGGGAACATGGAAAAGAGGGGTTAGGGGGGTCCAAGATTGTGCTTCTCGGTCTCAAGACCACCTCTCGTGGGGAAGTCAAGCGGACGGAAGCGGAGGGCAGGTACGCACACCAGTGGTCTACGCTGTGTAGCTAGGTAGCAAGAGGCTCGATGAAATCAAGTCTAGCAAGTTGACAGAGATGCGTACTTACTCCTATGATGAAAGCGTGATTGTGGTGATTTATTTACTGATGGGCCAACACAACAGCCCACACACAACTGTAGAGCCAAAAGTCGATAGACATCATTCTTCGTGGATGCCATTGTCAATTACCACACCACAAAGGAGAAAAAGATAGCTATGACGATACTACAAGACAAGAGATGACAAGCCTCCCAAACGCCCAATGAATAGTCTACCGGGGCTGTAATGTATGCGTAAAGGGGGTTGGCGCGCCGAGGCATAGCCCAACGCGCCCAGTATGACCCGAAACCACCTCACCAGGCCATAATCTTTACGCGTGTGCGTGCTCCTCATGCCTCTTCCGCCCCTCCCCTTCTCCGGGGGGCTTCTACGTGTGATGTGACCCCTGATTCTATGGCAACGCCGGCAACCGCTGGGGTTGCAAACGAGTCCCTCGCAAGGGACCTGGAGAGCTGGTTCATCGTAAAGAATGGGGCATTTTGGGCAAGAGAGGAGGGATGGAAGGCCTCCTCCCAGACCAATCCTTTCACTTATCGTCACATGGCCGTCAATTCTTGGCCCGAACCTTTCTCTTCTTTCTCTCCACCAGAAAAATTCACGCGATCGCCGAGGACTCTGTTCCCCGACTGTCTTCATCTCCCCCGCGCCCCGAGAAAAGCGCGCCACACGGAGTCCTAGTGCCTGTGCGGCGACTCGCCGGGGCTGTGACTGTGGTGGCTCTGGGGGCTGGAGCCGGCGACGGTGGTGCCGGTGGAGCAGCAGCCTTTGCCGACGCAGTCGTCGACGCACTCGAGCAGGCAGGACGTCTTTCTGACAACGACGTGGTCTCCGGCGCCGTCCAGGGCGAGGGCGGCCGTGTCCTCGATGAGGGCGTTCTCGGCGCTCGAGAGAAACTCGGGCTGGATGGTGGCGCTGTGGATGCCGTAGGCGTGGAGGCACTTGCGGGCGCGCTTGGCCAGGACCATGTACTTCTCGCCGCCCTCGGCCGAGATGGGGAAGCTGACTTGGACGTGCATCGACGCGACAATCTTGGTGTCGGAGAGCTGCCAGATGTGGACGTGGTGGCAGCTCACGACGCCGGGCAGAGCCTCAATGTCTTCGCGGATGTCCTGGAGATCAATGTGGTCGGGCGTGGCCTGGAGCAGAATCTTCGAGGTGGCAAAGGTCAGGGGCAGCGCCGACTTGAGGATGATGAGGGTGATGAAGAGAGACACGGCCGGATCGGCGTACATCTTGCCGGGCCAGTCGGTCAACCAGATGATCAGGGCGGTAACCATGACACCGACGTTGCCGAGCGCGTCGCCGATGACGTGCAGGATCAGACCGTTCAGTCCGAGGTCGCCGTGGCTGTGGCCGTGACCTCCCCCCTTCTTGCGGTCCTTCGGCTTGTTGTGGTTGTGCTCGCAGTGCAGGCTCGAGTCCCTGCGAGGACGGCCGTTGGAGGACCGGTGGCGCGAAGTGCTCTTGTAGGTTGTGTTGCCGTTGCCGTCGCTCAGGAGAGGCGTGTTCTCGCTAGACTCGCCATCTTGAACAGCGCCGTCCTCCACATCGCTCTCGTCGGTGGTCCCGTCCATGTCCTTGGGCCTGGGCCGGCTGGCGTCGATGATCTCCTGTCGGAAACTGGAAGGGTAGATGCTGATGTCGTCGATGCTCGTGAGGCGCGAATGACGCAGACTGCTGGCTCTACGGCGCTCCCTCTCGCGACCTCTGGTGTTACTAGGGCCGCGGTTGCTGGGAGACTCGGACTCGCTGTCGAACCTGATGCGGCGAGGCGTGGTGGAAGCGCCCTCGGTGGCCCTGGCGACGGCGACCTCGGGCAGCACATCGATGGCTGGCCCGTCATCGTTGGCAATGGCGTAATTGTTGCGGTCGGCGACCGTGACTCGGCCTTCCTCGGCAGCATGTTCGTGAGAGTGGTGGTGGTCGTGTTCGCCGTCACCGTGACCGTGGTCATGGTCATGGTCTCCGTGTCCGTGGTCGTGGCCGTGACCACCAAGCACCAGGAAGCCCACAAGGTTCGACGCGAGACCAATGGAGCCAACAATGAGAATGAGCTGAGGATTTTGAATATCGGGAGGATCGAAGAATCGGGAAATGGCCTCGAGAATGATAGACACGCACAGCGCGATCAGGAAGACGGCGTTGAAGAAGGCGCCGAGAATCTCGGCGCGCAGCCACTACGTCGTTGGTCAGTCGTTTGGCCCAGCACATGCTCGAGAAGGCGGCAGCACATACACCGTAGGAGTACTTATCAGTGGTCGCCTTGCTTGCGACGGCCACGGCCCAGAGACCGACGCACAGAGAGATGATGTCGTTGAGCTGGTTCCGATCGGGTCATCGGGTCAGTGGCGCCATCTCCGAGGCAGTGGGTTCGCGACAGAGAACTCACCATGTGAAAGGCGTCGGCGAGCAGGGCCAGGGATTTGACGAGCAGTCCGACGGTCAATTCAGTAACGAAGAAGACGATATCAATAGCCAGCATAATGCTGATGCGCGTCGACTTGGACCACGCCATGGTGGGCGGTTGTTGTCTGCGGACAGTGGGTGGGGGAATGATTTGGTCGGGTTGGGACGGCGACGGTCGTTTTTGAGCTCGAAGAGCTCCGAATCGTGGGAGGTAGCCAGTCAAAAGAAACAACGAGGCAAAGAAGACAGGCGTGCCGCCTTCAAAAGAAATCACAGCTTTGACTCTGTGATGGTAAAGAAAGGAAGTAGGGGGATCTTTAGAAAATGACAGAGAAGGTTTGGGGGGTTGCGAGGGGCCAACGACGATAGGACCAGCATGTTTGGCAGCCGTGACAGGGAGGGCGAGACAGGGCTATGACGCTTGTGCTTTTTTGCCTGCTTACCTCACCTCACCTGCTTCAGATCCTTACGACACTCAGGTCACTATGCCTGAGCAGGTATTTCATTAGAGTTCTCCCTACCATGTCCTGGCCCTCGGATGTCTTGCCGGCCTCGCTGACAGTGGGACTGCAACGCTGCTGGGCCAATCGGCCGACAGAGACGTGCTATTCGAAATGCCGACGCCCTTGAGGTGAGTTGTTCGGCCCCGACAGCTCGGGCGAAGCGAGGCGAGGCTGTATCAAGGCCTGGCGCGAGAACCCCGAGCTCTCCAACGTGTATACTCATATTTAAGAAGGACTACAGCAATACCCCTTGGTAGATCGCGGTATCATCATCTTCTGTTGGCAATCTTCCCACAAGGCCCTTCTGAGACTTTCGAACAGACCGCGCTGGCGACAACAAGATCTTGTCGTCGACCTGACTACACGCATGAAAGCGTAAAGGGCAGTGGTATCACAGGCTGCTGATGCTGCAACATGCATGCGAATACATCGCCTTCCGGTGCTGGTCCAGGCTGTCCGTCACGAGTACAGCTTGTGCGACAACGACCGTGATGAGGATGGCCGAAAGTGGACTTGTGTGATTAGGGACCAACCCAGGCAATAGCGCCGTCTGGATCGCACCGATTATTCCCCTTGAACCACCGCCTTCGTACACCAACAAAGCCTCGGCTGCGCGATGAGATCCATGTACCTCCTGAAAGGAGCTGCGGCAGAGGATGTCGTGTTCGGCTGCTTGTAATCGAGACTCGCCTACAATATTGAATTCAAATATCCTGTGAACTGCCCCTACCCAGGTGCGACAAGAACACGACGGATTCATTCCGGCCAGCTTCTGGAGCCCGACCTACTTGGTCTTCGAAAGTTGATCTTTCTGAGCAGATCATAATGAATTCATCAAACGCGTCAAACTTTTGTACTTCCCACAGAAGGACGGCCACGCTTGTCTGGGCTTGACTCGATTGGCAATGTTGGCCGAGCTTGGCCTACATTTGCTTCGCTTGAGAGAGATACGAGACCAGAGACAAACCACATGACGCCACGGGCCGATCGCGAGAGCAACATCATGGCGATGAATCATCGGAGATTCATGACCCTAGGCGGAACATAGGCGAAACATGTCCGGCTACTGATCGGCCAGAATGAACAGAAGGTCAGACTCACCTGGGCTTGTTCAACACGATTCGGCAGAAAGAAATGCTCTCGCGAGCTCCAAGCTCATCGATGCTCCAAGCATAACGATCAGCCTCCAATCATGCTCACGTCATTTGCTACGATGAGGGCTATCCTGCCTGAACCTTGATACCTCAAAGACCAAGGCTGAGAAGCAGCGGCACGTCTTCTAACCATCACCTAGATATCTGAAATCATCTCCTCTTCACAGTTGTATAGAGCTTGAGATACAGGCTCAGGCCAGCTTGATCGGCTTTAAAGGCTTCAGTCGCAAGGCCTCGCTGGTGTTTCTGCTGGCCTTGAGATACAATTACACCATGAATTAGTTGGCCTTGAAACTGTTTCTCTACTTGTCTTTCTGGCTCTGCAAGTGCAGCAGCCTCGTATCATGTAGGACGTCGGATTCACACCAGAACACAAGAATACACTGGAGAGGGTAATTCAGTCGAGGCCCTGCTCGGACGTAGTCATCAACAGGAACAGACGACCACCTTTGGGCGTAGCTCGCTCTGCAAGAAACCCGTTTTGCAATCTTCAGTCTCATGCTTACCACCAGAGCTTGCATAACTTCCTCCCAAAGTTCGCAACTACTGCTCGGTTGTGGAAGTCCCGGCAGCTGGATATCCGGTGTTGGTTGGGCTGATGGCCCATCAACTACTGCGAGTGTGACAGCTCGAGACAAGCTGTTGACGGCGCCGCCCTTTGAGCACCACGGTGCTGGACCAACCCTCCTCACCTGCGTACGCCTTGGCAGGCGGCCCCTTTCCTTGGAGCTTGCCCTTCATCCTCATCGTTACTGCATTTGTATCAGACCTCGTACGGCCTGCTGAGAAAGGGTGCATAGAAGGCTACAGTGAAGGCTTTCAAACCTCTCCGGCTGTATCCGAACGTATGACACACGAGATATACTCCATGAGGCTTACTTCTGCTCCCGAAGACCGACCACATGCAGCGTCCGCATGGTATCGTTTCCGCTCCGCACTTGATCCCCTCATAGAGTTTAATGGCTGACGAGGAGCAAAGTATGATGCGGCGACTGTCGTTTCTGTACAAGGGCGTCAAAAATGCCTCGGGATCTCTCGCTGGTAAAACATTTTTCATTCGCCCGACGTCAACTACGAATCAGCCTCCCGTTTCCGACCGAGATGTCGTTACTTTGACCACGTCGAGGGCAATAAGAAAGCCAGTGAAGACAACTATCAACTGTAAATAAAGTCAGTCCATTGAGCCATGAACAAGACTTCGGTACTGGTAGGCAACATACCACGAAAGACACTCCTGCCAAAACAATGATTTCAAACCCTCCAGTCAATGCTTTCCCTCTGATCATGGCATGCTGTAGCCTCCAGACACGACTTGTTCCCATGATGACTGTGCACATGGCAAATGCGTAACACAAGGTCGCCAGCGGCCTGCCTACGTTGGTATAGCCGAAGCCCGAGTCGGGATCTTCGAGGACGAACAGCTGCGCAACCAGGGTGCCGGTCATGGCGGCCATCAGGGCAGTCCTAAGATACGCCAAGAATGTTCTTTCGACGGCTTCACGTGGCAAACAAAAACTTGAGTCAGCTGCTGTCTTCTGGGAGATGATGTGGCGGGGATAAGGGTTGACGGCAAGGAGGCATAAATAAACTCGGATGCCGCCTCCGTGCCGGATTCGGTCAGCCCGCAAAGTAAGGTGGTTCGAGGCTCCGAATCGCCAGACTTGATACGGTTGAAGGGATTAAGAACGAAGACATATGACAAAAGGTCCGCAAACAACAACAAGAGTGATGAAGACACATTTGGTCCAAGCCACGGAGACACAGTTCCGGCGTCAGATATACACCGACAGGGCTAGGTGTGGTTCGGTGAGGGGTGCGAGTATGGGTGCGGGGAGTGGAGCGCACGCATGGGAAAGTAGACTCTGGCTTTCAGCAGCCATTGTGGTACCCGCTCGCGGAGACAGGTCGAGATGGACCATAATCCGGTAAGGTCAGGGTTCTAGAAAGACGCGCACTTGCAGCCGGAACGAGGCAAGTCCACGAGCAAAGCATGCAAGTGCACCGAAGCAGCAACAGGTTGCAGGTCCGCTTGGAGAAACTTGCGTTGCACCTGTACACGCCCCCTCCCCCAGCTCCCCATGTGCGTGCGGAATACAACGTCGGCCGTACTGGTAAACGGAGAGGGTTGCGGATGAGTCTTCCGGAACGATCTGGGGACAGTCGATGCGCTTACCAGGAACAGGGAACAACCGAAACGGATGTCTAGACCTAGAAACGGTAGGAGACGTCTGCAACATACCTAAATGATCGCGACATTTATCAAAATCGACAACACAGCTGACGTGCTGAGACCAGAACTGTTTGAGAGAAAAGGGCTCGGTGTGAGGATCTGAAGTCGTGGCTCTCAGGTTGGCTGTTGCTTGAGATGAATGTGAGCCTGGTCGAATCTAAAAACCAGTCAGTCCGGTGATGAAAGTTGGGGTAGAGGAGCGTAGCAACTACCCACGAACCTCTGAGAGCTCGTAGAACTCGTGATTCCGCCTGGCAGCCATATTCTGAAATGAAGGTCGGCTTGTGGTCGAAAAAGAGCCGACCAAGGTCGTATTCAGGTGGTGAGACCTCGGAGAATAAAATAAGAATGCAGTCGGAGGATGCGCCGCGGTGGCAAAGCGCGCTCGCTCTGCAGGGTGCTTGTCGAACCTCTGCTCGGACAATTCTACCACTTCTGTAGGGCAGCCGGTAATTCGAGTCCTTTCTCCGCCAGGGCGACGGGGTCTGCGGGCCTGGTCTAGGAGATGTGCTCTTTCGAGCCCCTAAACAGGCGGATATCGTCTCTCAACGCACGTGTTAATTAATGATGGCGTTGGGATGAAGTTGGGATTAAGACGTAGATGGGTGGCTTGATCGGAAGCAGGACCGAAGACACGACTGAGAGGGTTTCTTTTTGAGCAATGTTGGACGCAAATGTACGACTGGTCGTGAAACTGAGATTGCAAGCATCGGCGAGACTACTTGAACTTCATAGACCTATTTTGAGAGGTCGGCGATGATTGTTTTCTCGGTGTCTAAATCAACGCCCTAATCCTCGGGATTTGATACTCAATGAGAGATAGGGTACGCGGCGGAATGCAATACGTTGTACCGTGCAAAGCGGTGAATACACTGTCGGCTGGGGCGGTGCTTGCTTTGTTGAGTCCCCTGGAACGTAGTGTTTACAGAGAGCTCTGGTGAGACTTGCGGCAGCAAGCGTGAGTTCAACACAGTGTCGAAACTATGATGCAACATCAGGCAGGTCGGGAAAGGGCTTCTTTCCTGGCCCTGCCTCAACTTCATTTCTTGTCCCAAGTTGCCTTGACCATATTCCTCAGTCATCTACTCCGCCTACCTACCTACCTACACTACCTTACCTACTTTATACCCTTGTACAGTATTACCCGCCGACTGTCGCCATCATTGTCGCGGGCCTTCTTGACAGAGCTGGACCGACCTGCACACGGTATCAAAGCCGTGACTGGGTTGTGGGCGATGCGACGTTGACTTGCATCCCGAGCCGATATTTGGCCGGAAAGCAACCATGTAATGCCCGCCTCCTTTCCTGGCCTGGCGGCTTTCTGCAGCAAGACTTCATCCAATCTTTTCGGCTCGATCCGAAAATCATCGATGGGAACGCGGCGGCTTCTTTACCAAATCAGGACGCGGCTGCTTGAGGCAGCGTGCCTGACCGGACAGCGTTGATAACGACAATTGGAGCCCCAGTGGCCTAGTCGAACTGCCCCGAGTGGTCCTCTTTGCGAGCGAGACGGCGAGCCCGAAGCGGATACACATGTCGGGCCGGACGCCCTCGACCGAGCACGACATAGCAAGCCGACCGTCCATCCGTCGTGGGTCATTTCCCATGACGCCGAATGCTTCCCAGAGGTATGACACCAACCCACGCAAATTCCCCGTGCCGCGTACCATAGCCCGCGACATGGTTCTCGTCCTAGCGAGACTCGGCGCCGCACATGTCGGGCGGCGGACCATTGCGGACCGATGTCCGCCAGTCCAAAGAAAAAAGAAAAAAAGTTCCGCCTGGGTCTCGCGAGATCGGCCGCATTAGGATCAGGGTCAACTGACATCGATGTGTCCCACGACAGGCGATCACTGCCTCCTCTGCCACCAGAGCCATGCTAGCGGGCATGAGAGTAACGGCATGCCACCGTCATGCTTTTGATCGAGACACAGCATGTCAAAATATTGACAGAAACCCGTTCCTCTAGCAGAAAAATTGATACTCGAATCCTCGGCATGAGGATACTCCGCGACTTTGCCAATTGGATGCCTGGCTCCTATCGCAAGAAGACAAAACATCCCTGCGGTCTCCCAGAGCCTGGCGTGCATCGTATCTATCTCCCATCCAGCGATGCACACGCCACCCCCAAGGTCCCGGCCTACGCGAATCGAGCTCTTCCAGCCAATCCGGCGTCTCCGTTTCAAGGCTTCCGGCCCGGCGGCCCGCGCCTGGGAGGCTTGCCCAAGACTCTCAGCACTGAGAACGAAATATCGAGGACCTGTCTCCATATCCAGCAGCCAATTGTCCCAGCTTCGCCCTCCCACCTGAATGTAACTCTCGACAACTGGTGATCGTGTCATTTGAACATGCACCGGCGTTCTGTTTAC